TACTGCACATTACTGAAAAAGAAAAAAAGAAACAATACTAACTTCTTATTAACACCTTAAAATGGAAACTGAGATGTCCACATTACTAGAAATCGTGCTAGAAATATTAGGTGTCAGCATACAACCATTTTTTTGCATTCTTAGCCTACTACCAACTTTTTCATGGACTTTTTTCTTGTAGTATAAACAACAAAAGTAAAATTCTTTGGTTTTTTAGATGCTGGAAAACACGTGTTTCAAACTCTACATGAAAATGCATGCAAATTTGCAGGTCAAATCACAAGGAACTGAGCAGTTTGTCTATTTGAAGTAATATAGTAAGAGTACAGACATTCAAAGCCTTGCCAAAAAAAGCCTCATGTCCAACTGCCAGTTTTGCCATAGTACTTAAAATCTCTTTTGGATAATTTAACATACCTTCTATTTCATCACAGCAGTTACTCTGTTAAAGCAAATGTAAAATTAAAGGACTAGAATTAGAAACTTGCTGTCATGACATCAGAAATAAATTCTTCACCATGAGGGCACTGGAATAGGTTGCCCAGGGAGGTTGTGGAAGCCCCCTCTCTGGAGGTGTTTAAGACCAGGCTGGATGAGGCTTTGTGCAGCCTGGTCTAGTGTGAGGTGTCCCTGCTCACAGAAGGAAGGTTAAAATCTGATTATTTTAAGGTCCCTTCCAACCTTAACCGTTCAATGATTCTATGTTTATCAGGTAACAGACAATTTCAGTTTTATTCTTCACCTCTCAAAGAAACTACAACCATCACTCTTAGCTGAGATTATAAAAAATATTATAATTACAGAAGCAATAAGAATGATAAAAAAAATATGTACAAGCAGAGAACAAAGGAGAGAATGTAGAGTGAAAAACTGAGCTGTTATGGAAGGGAAGGGTCCTTCAGGGGCTGGATGCTGAAGAAAACAAAGCTCTTGTCCCTGCTTTTGTGGGGTTGAATACGGAAAAAGAAACCCAACAAGCTGTACAAGAAATGAAGCTGTACAAAAGGTCATCAATCAGACTAAAACCAAAACATAAACCCACAAAAATCCCCTTGTACATGATTTAATGCTGAATCATTACCAAACCCATGCAGAACAACCAGAGTTTGCTTGAGAGCTAAAAATGGGAAGATAATACCACTGCTCTTCTTTCTACTGGATAGTAGCTAGAAACATTTATATATATACACATATATATATATGCCAGGCCTTGACATATAAAAATGGAGTTGCAAGAGACAAGTGAGAAAACTGAAAACTCAGAGAAATGCAAAATTCCATATAACTGGTAATGCTTGGATGCTGGGTGAAAGCAAAGTTAGAACTACTACTAGAGAAAACATTTAATCTAAGATTTATTATAAACTACATGCCACGTTTCTTAGGCCATCCTGACAAGTGGATTCTGATCTTTCCCTGTTACCTCCACTTGAGGACACACCCTCTGACAAAGGGGCATCCTGCCCTGAGAGCCTGAAGACAGAAGTGTGGACTTGCTGAATCTGTACAGCAACACAGATCCTCTCTCCTCCAGCTCCCCAAACATGATTCCTGGAAAGAACTTGTACAGCTGCCTTAATTACAAGAATCTAGAATTATAGGTGGATGTAGAAACTATGGGATTTGATGCCCTCCCTAGACAATCCTGTGTCTTAACCATACTATGGAAAAAGTACTGTTGATTTACAAGAGGCAAGAAGCAGGTCACTCTCATGCAGAACTGCATTGAATCTTAATTTTTTTTTAAGTACTGCCTGCACAATGTAACAAGTGGAAATAACTGCACATATACACAAAATAAACCACTAGACACATGACTGGGTGATATGCACATGTATAGATATAGGTGAACAGGTATCGATTCCTTCAAATGTTCCATCCTGTATGCACCTAAAGTGTTCCTGAAAAATATTTACAACACGGGTGAAATTATTGATTTCCACTACTCATGAGTATTATTTTTGGCAGAAGGATTCTAAGAAAAACAAATAAATAGTCCAAGGTGTAAAAATTCCAGCCCCAAGTAGCTGCAGGTTTTATCAGAAAGTAGCAGGGAACTTCAGGCTTTTTAGACACTGAAGTTGCTGAGGCATATGAACACAAGTTGCTCAGTGTGGCTGCAGCAATATAATTTCCCTTTCTCCCCTCTGCTGGAGGAGTTTAATTCCAATACAGAGTGTGTTAAGCTCTTAAGAAGCATCTGGAGCTATTGCACAAGCAACACAAACATGAGCTCTTGTTTCATTTCTCTTTTCAAACTCTTAATTTCTCTTCAGCACTTCCCCTTTTCAAACCAACTATTAACCCAGCACTTAGATAATGTCTATACAATATTCAGACAAACATTCCCCAAGGGTTTAGAAACAAAATTCATAAACATCTGTTGACAGAAAACTCACTTTTATTACCATATATCTAGTCTTTTTTACATAGGGGTAAGGAAGACAGAATGAGTAAGGGCTTATCCCACAGCTCTTTTTCTCCACATCAAAGGTGCCTGGGATTAGAAACTAGCATTATAGGCAGACAGAAGAATTAGATGTGTGATATTATTCTGTCTGCACCAAACATGGGCACATTTTTCCAAGAGGTCTGTTGAAATTTTGTAGTTTGATAAGAATATTTCTCAAGTAAAAAACAAATTTTCCATTGAGGAAACCGAAGGGTCTCCCTATAATTCTCCGAAAGAAGAAATCCATCCATTTCCAATTCTTTGTCATCCCTTACTATTCTCTTAACGTTCTTCTGTAGCCTAGCATACTTTCCACAGACCTTTCACCATCTGAAATGGAATATGTTCAATCTGCCTAAGAACTACCTCACAAGCGACCATTTTGCACAGCATGTGTCAGGTTAAAGGACAAAATATGCCCACAGCCTCTCAAGTAAGCATGCTTATCAGCCCTCTGTGTCAATTGAGGGTTCAGAAGAAGATAAGACTTATTTCTTTATACACTGAATTATTGAGACCCTAGAATCCTAAGTAGGATACTTCTCCCCTGATACCTGTTCTCCCTTCAGTTGCTGTTGGGCTAATTGGATGTTAAGTTTACTACTATGGTATGAAAGAACAAGAGAAACAAGCTCTCTGCTTCTCTGTCATTAATGATTCTTTAATCTCAGAAGTCAAGCCAATGGCAGGGAAAGTGGAACTCTGTAACAGGGCTTGACCCTGTTGGGCAAGCCAAAATGGGACAAGGCAATAGCAGACTGACACCTTCCACTTCTTCCAAATTTCAGAAGTCATTTGGGACACTGAGGAGTCCTGGCATACATTGTTAGGTGTTGCTTTTCATGGTTAGAAATGGCCATAGCTGCACTTCTCTTACCACCTTCTGCTGTGGTACTGGCAGGCATGTGTACTCACGATGATCTCCATGAAAAGCCAGGCCTTGACATCACAGAAAGCTGGGAACTTTTCTTAGGGCATTTGAAAGTGAACCAGCAAAATAATGCCCTTTCATCCACCCCATTCAAAAACTGTAATTCTTTTCCTTCCACTCTGAAAGTAACATTAAAAAGCAATCCAATGTCCCCATTTCACTAAGCTGGAGCCCAGACTATTTTCCTGTCATTGCACCTCACTGGATGTGTGCCTCCCAAGCACACCCTTTACCTTGTGCCACATCTGACACAGCAACTGCATTCCCCAGGGCTCTGAAGATACTGTTTCTCCTTCACGTGGGTTGATAGCCACAAATTACCTTAAGGTCCTTTTGAGGTATGCTCATAGATAAAGAAAACCTTTGTTAATGTACATGATTAACAACCTCTTGTAATGCGACACTGCTTTGGAAGGGAATATATCACACACAAGTCAGTATTTCAGACCCATGTCTGAGTACCATGTCAGTATTTATACATAACTTCTCAGAAATGTCGTTTTATCTGTTCTTTGTAGCTCTAACCGCATTAAGGAGTCAGTCAGAAATGCAGAGCAGAGAAAGCTTCAAGTGGCAATGAGCTCACCTCTTCTTGCATTATACATGACAACATGATTGGTACCCTCCTTCAGGGAGGTTCTAGGAAAGCAGAAGCAGCTGGCAAGAGAAGAGAGTATCTACTCAGAGGCAAAACTCTGAATATTTTTTCCTTCAACAGTAATGCTTAAACTAGTACCTACATGTAGTGCACCAATATAAACAGATCAACCCATACTGCTGTCAGCTACTCCGGGATCAAAATTTATACTTGGTATCAAAGAAAGGTGCAACACAGTACTGCTCTTGAGAAGAAAGCTTTATGGAAAACACTGGTCACTCAGGGAAAGGGCACCCTGCATGTGCTTAATTGAAATTCCAGTTGAAAATGCTACTCTAGTGCTTGATAATAGTGGGGAGTGAAGAACAACAAAGCAGGAAACAGTATTGTGCATATAAAGCAATCTAAGGTTTTTTTTCTTTATAGTTGGCTTTCAGAGCAGATGAAGTTGTGACTTTTTTAATATGCATTTATTCTCTCTCTTTTCATCATACTAATGATAACTTGATCACTGAAACCTGAATTATTTTTATTTCCATTGACAGAAAGTACTGAAAAAGAAGGGAAGTCTCATCTTTCAAATTAAGAAAAAACCCAAACTTTCTCCAAGATTTATACTGTCTCAAGTTTGACAATGGCTTTGACTCAGTTTCAACTCAGAAAATATTTAAACATACTTGCTTTTAACCAAGCACATAATTTTACTAATTCAGCAGAAAAAAAATAGATACACTTTAAACTTATGTGCTTACATGTTTTAATAGATGAGGACCAAGCCCTGGACAGAAATAAAGGAATAATGAAATACAGTAAAGCTAACTCTCTGCAGAGCACTAAATGAAAACACAACTTGCACAAACCCGGCATTTTTCCAATGCAAAATTTCTCCCTTTCATCAAATCTGCTGTGATACTTACTTTTCTGAATGTTTCAGCAGCTGGAAACAAGTGTTTTAGCTTTTATTTCAAGAAAAGAAGAACCATTCTAGCCCTTCAGATTGTTGAGAAAACATGAAAAAAGTGTATTTGAGGCTTTGAGACCAGAAAACAAATAAAGGAATGAGTTATTTATTTAGTGGTTAAATTGCATGACTACTTAATACATGGGGCTGGAAATAATTGTCTTTTCTCTAGAAGAAACAAATGCTTCAGGTGTAAGTACTTTAGCACACAAGCTATTAGTTATTTACAATAGAGATTAATATGCTGGCATCCTTTACGTTTATGATAATACAATGATAAACTGAAATTATGAGCCTGAACTGAATAAAAATAGCCTGAGTTCAGGGTATATGTAACAATGAAGTAGTTCTATTATGGACAAATCCACCAAAATAATTAACATACAAAAATCTCAGCCATATAAATAATACAAGTTTTTGAAAGATATGCTAAGAATGTTAAAATCTAAAAGCCATGTTGAATTATTTTATGCAATCTCAGACATCCTCTAAGAACAGAGTCTAGGGGAAAACAGCTGTTCTGCTGAGGGTTAATTAATGTGTATTTAAACAACTTATATTCAGTCTTGGAATAAAGAAAAAAGGGGAAAACAAAAAGAATTCTTCTTATATCAGTGTATGCCATTCCAGCCTCATTAAATCTGCCCAACTAGCAAAAAGACCTAAAGTTAGAGCAAAGAAAGACTATTCTGTCTGGACAAGAAGATATTAATCATCCTCACCATTATATTCACAACCAAGCAGTCACACAGAAGCACACTGTACTTAAGAAAATTGTTTCAGACTAGTTTCAAAATATAAAATGCATTTGAAAAATATGATTTAATGGTCTTGCACTCCTTTATAGGAACCTCCCCCACCCCGATAAGACGTGACAAGTACACTTAGAGCTTGTATTTGTGTATGCTGAATTGTAGGGTTTAGGGCCGTATGCCAACCATGAGTTTCTGACTACTTACCCACTCTTCCTCATCATACTCAGAATGATGTGGTATAGAGTCCTGTCTTGTAATCTGAGAAGGATGATCCTGATGTTGTAAATCACTCCCCTCTTCTGCAGTGTTTCTAGGCACAGCCGGTTTCTTGAGGACACAGCCAGGCCGGGCTGTGTACAGTGCTAAAAGGGCACTTCTGACCAGCTGATCCTTAAATGCATGCACAAATAACTCTGTCTAGAAAACAAAATAATGAAGAGGTTAGACCAAGGGATGCAATACTGCAATATAGATATTTCAACATTTAATTACCTTTAGGTGCAGAAAATATTTGTTTCAGGCTGGCCTGAGAAACAGAAAGCAAAACAGACCAACAAAAAATGATAAACAATTTGAGGGGTTTAGGGACATCATCACATTCTACAATCCCAGTGTTCTAATGACTAACATGAAGACACAGTATCTGTCAGAGAGGTCATAATCTTTTCACGTAATTCTATTTTATTCGAGTTCCAAATTTTGCCTGCAGAGACAAGCCTCTACAAGAACCAGTTCCAGGAGTAATCAACCACTGTTTGATAACTTCTGAATAAGTATCAGATGAAACGTGATAAGCAAATTTAAGGATGATCTTAAATACAAACACACCACTCTACACTGCTGAGATTTAAGTACCTGCAAAAGAAGGTACATTTCCAAAGATAAATTTTGTTATGTGCAGGTATCAACCCAAGTATCAGGGCAGGTGATGACACCTGATTTTTAGCTTTATTTTTAAAGAAAGAAAACTTTGAAGTAGTTTTCCCAGGCTCTCTAAAGATGTTATACAACCCCTGCATCCTTTTGCTAAATCTTTTTCATTGACTGTGGTATCTGCAAGTTTACCATATTTTTAAAAACCTCCAATCTCCCTGCAATATTTATCTCCTTTCCACCCCAACAAGGAAAATGTTTTCTGCTTATGGTGTTAAACATCTCTAGACTATGCCCACCTAAAACAGTTGCTGTTGCCACCAGGCTGCCACGCACATCTGTCTGCTGCAATCACACACAAATATGGCCCTATCTCTGCTACTTGTCCTACTTTGGAGGCTGGCTACTGAAAAGAAAGATCAGTAGTGGGTAGTAGTCAGAGGGGCATACCAGGGTAGAGACCTTTTTTGTAAAAACCCTTACCTGGGCCCCAGGGAGGCAGCAAACCTCCCTACATGTTGGGTCTGGTTGACAAATAGGGTCCTCCATTCCTCTGAGCAGGGAATCACCAATGACAACAACTCTCCACTTTTGTCTTAGCAGAAGATGTTGTTATGCAAGTAGGCTGACTCATGTTGGGCCTCTCCTCTGTCCCAGATGGTCTATCATCTGTGACATCATTAGTCTGTCCCTCAACTTCCACAGCCTCACACCTGTTGTGCAGACTTATCTGAGGGGAGGATGTACGAAGGGAAGGGGGACACCCACAGCCTCAAGCAGGAACCTGCTTCCACCTTCCCTCATGTTCTTGCTTACTATTGCTAGACTGGTAGCAGGAGGGCTGAGGACTCTTTTTTCTTCCTGCGTCTCTTGATGTACCTGCCTCAGGGATGTTAGGGTGCTATTCCACCCATCTATTTCATCCTCAGAGTCTCTGATGCTTCTTAGCCTCTCAACTTCATCTTTAGCTCAGCCATCATGCAGAGCAGGTCCTCTTCTTGGTCACACCTCATACATATATTGCTACAGCAGTCATCAAGTATTGGAGATAGGCTGTGGCATTCCCTGCAGCTGGAGATCTGGATGGCTGCAGGCCTCTGTGGCAGCATGGTCTGGGTTGCTGCATCCTTTACAGCAGAGGTAACTGCTTTTGCCTGTGTGGACATCATCTCCAAGTTTCATCCTATTGTTGATGTTGTGGCTGTTGTTCACCTTGTTATCTGGTAATCAGCTATGCAAAGTACTAGGTCCTAAGTGCTATCCTTTATGCTGGTGGTACAAAGAAAGGCTAAAATTTTGCTGCAAATAAAACTCAAAATAAGAATCTTAGGAATACCTAAGCTAAGTTACGGGGTTTTTTTAACCAACACCAGGACGTATTTCAGATCTGATTTAGAATTCTATAGTGATTAGGCTTGGCAACACTATTAATCTCCCTGGCAATGTTTCCATACCATTCTGTCTCTTCCTGACTAACTTGGTGCCTGAGGGAAAGGGTACTTAAACAGTTTTCTTATATGTAGCCTCACGGTCCTGAAAGGCACCGCATTTCCAGGCTCCCTGTGCAGTCTTTGGAGAATATTGCTAGGAAACCCTACTAATCTTCTGTAAAGAAGAGACAAAATGAGACTTGCAAAGTTGTCTTTTCTTGTATGGTAACAGCAGAGCTGTTCAGAGTTCAAGACCACAGTTCTGTATCAAGAGAGTGCAAAGTACTTTACTTGTCTGTCCTTAGAAATTACAACATCATGGTTTTGCTGAGTTTTTGTACCTTGCCTCCCCCTCAAATTCTGCCTGAGATAATTTCAGGTCTCTGCATTGGGCAAGGTAGACTCAAAAAAGCTTTACATTTCAAAAAATTTTACATATGGGACAGCTTGAGCTAAGGAATGCCCACTGTGTCTGCAATGTATATTGGGTAGCTATCTGAAAAAGTAAATCAATTTAATATTGATATTTTAAAGAGAAAATTCATTTTAAAAAGCAAACTGGCATGAAAACGAACATCCATTTTCTTTCACGTAGAGTCTAAAATGATTCTGTAATTGAATTCCATTCAAGGATTCCATTGGCTTAAAAACAATCTACATTTTAACTACATTTTCTTACAGCTCAGTACAGCTAAATATGCAGAACATCACTATTTATAAAACTGTATTGAAATCACAAAACAAAGTCTATAAAAAAGAAATTTAAACTTTGCAAATTCTTTTAGATACCTGACTAAAGAATGTTTTTGCAAAGACAGGCATAGCTGCAAAGTGAATTTATAAAGCTTTCTGCAAGCTGCAAATGCTGATACATTTGTCAACATCTAAAGGCTTCCTTAACCAAGTAACAGAAAACATTGATAAAAGGTTAGTCTCAGGAAAACACTAGAGTAAATTGCAAATGATATATGGATAAGTAAAACCATGCTTAATGTGGGAAAATCAGCTCCATTTAAGAACAAGCAGTGGAATCATTTGACATAATTTTCCATTTTCAGTGCATGCAGTCAGTCCTTCCATTTCTAACAAATACTTAACAGCATTTCAAATTATTGATAGCTCAGATATAGTCACTGAAACCTAATGCTTTTAGAAAGAATTATTCTATATTGCAAGCTTAATATTATCTTATAAGTGATATGCTTTTTAATAAACCCGAGGAGTTTAATGACCAGGCAAATCATTTTTACAACTTCTTGAAACAGCTCTTTAATTTCTATTAAGTTAAAATGTAAGAAAATGTTTCTTTTTTACATATAAAAAGCAGAGAGCAGAAGCACCTCATATGCCTCAAAAATATAGGTAGGTATCATGTAATTCTATTCAGAAAGGCATGCCAATCTGTCTTAAATAGAACTAGGGACACCCCTAAGTTTTGACTCTCCCATACTGTACCAGATTATATAGACAGATTACCTCAGGGTGTTGAGATGATGCCTTGAATTAACAACGAAGGATCTAGATGCAGCACTGTGTGGGTTCACTCAATTTGGTTTTTTGAAACTTATTATTGCTTTCCCTGAAATTGTCTCCTGATCTTTCCTCCCCAGCTCTCTTCCCTTCTTTATGAGCAGCTGTCCCTCCACACTAGCTTCCTCTGCAAGTCTCACCTTCTTCCTCAATTATAGTCTTCTCCTCAGAGTAAATGTGGGAATGGACAGGGAAGCAAGTATTCAACTGTTCCTGCAGCAGTTGTTCAGACAACCGTATTAATCTCTTTCGAGCAAAAGGTGAAGGCTAGACAGAAACTATGGGCTGCCAGGTCCAGCAATTTAATCCTGGCTCTGAAAAGTTGATATGAATACATACAACTACATCACTACCTATAAATGTAAAATATCTGTGACTTTTCCAAACTGAATGGATTGTCTTTTGTGTCCCTTTTCTGCAGTCATGCTCCAATAGGCCATGGTTCAAACAGTGGGCTAGTACTGCAGCTGCCTGCAGCCACTCTGAAATTGTCCACTCCTCCTGCCCAGACAGGTGAAGGTGAGAAGGGAAAAGCAAATGGCTACAGCTAACATACCAAATCCCTAGCAACCACATCTTGAATCTTCAGAACAAACGCTGCTTTGCTTGACTGGCTTCACTTGTGCATGCACACATATTTCTTTGCACCAACCATTAACAGAGCACCTGCACTTTTTCTATTTGCAGCAAAAAATGTCTCCTTCAGTACGACATGGAAAAAGGTATGCTGTAATTGCCAACCCCCCCTAAATTCCTCCCTTTCATTTCCAGGCTGAATTCTACTTTCATGTATTTCCCTGACGTTCACAGCAATTCCAGTGTTATCAGACTTGCTGTGAATTTACACATCTATAACAGAGACAACATTTCTCTTCCCCGTGGCTCCAATGCAATACCTTCACAGCATGTGGCTGAGCTCAGTATTCAGATTGAAACTCTCCCATTGAGCGATGAACTGCTGGGATAATAGTGCTTAACAGACCACAGGGGTTGCCACTTCCCAATAGCTGAAGATATATTGAAATGGTTATTGATGGTGCTATTAAGCCATATTGAGATCACATTACAGAAGGTATGGCCCACAAAGTGATGGGAAACCTTTTCAACCCCTCTGGTCATAGCTATAGTGCTTAATATTTTTATAGGATAACATACGCTTAAAAGTACTTCAGACTTCAGCTAATCTCCAATACCATTCTGTGAGACAGGTGGAAAACATTATCTTCCTTAATCTGGAGATAAAGAAACTAAGATGAAGAAGTGCCTACAGCTAGAGAGGAATGTGACAGGAGGATTAAAATTTGAGACCTCCTGGTGTCAACTTCCTCTCCTTCCAGACTGCATCACCATTTCTGATTATGCTATTATTCTAAACCTTACACACAAACCTGGTTTGAGCTACCTCCTACAAGCAGTAGTTGGAAGTACCACAGAAAAAGAAATAAAATAACCATTTATCATCACACAAAATCATTTACAATCATCTATTTTTTATAAACCCCAGTATGTGGCCACTAGAGGCTAACAAAGACATGAAATTAAATTAATTATACTTTCAAATAAAGACAATCTTTATAGATTTCATTAATTTTCTACACAGAAAGCATACAGAAATGCTAAATAGTATTATTTTTCTGATAACATTTGAAGCTTATTTTAGTAGAGCTTATTTAACATTTCCTGATGCTATGAAAGTCAATTTATATTTAAAAAAGCCCAGCAGTTAGAGACTTGATTATTCCATTTTTCATTGCTGTGAAGATTTCAATCTTACTTTTTCTGAAAGCATCTTTAAAGAATTCTTCAGGCTGTCTGGAGAATGCTGGCTTGCAGAATTAAGCAGCAGGTCTGCATGGCTTGATATGAGAGGCTGTAGATGATTGATGTTGCTGAGTACTTCTTTTGCCTTGGCTGTGTTTTCAGGTGAATAGTAAATACACTGGTATCCAGTACTGCAATAACACAGAAGGAGTCACACAATGTCAAAATTATTTCTGGTATTAATAAAAAATGCTTAATGTACTAAAAAATTTACCACTGGTTTTGTAAAAAATGACAGATACCTGAACTTCACTGATACCATTTCTTTAAGGGTAAAAAAACCCCTTGCTTGAACAGTAGAGGACAATGAACTCCCTACCACCAAATGCTCCAATTAGGACTGTTCAACCTCATCATTCTTTTGAGTGATTAATCTTAACATTAGAAAAAACTTTTTTTTTTTTCATTTTATAAATATAATTCTTGAAAAATTAAAGGTTTGACCAAGTCAGATTGTAATCACAAAGCGCTTAAGGCTCCTTATTTTTACAGTTCAACTCCCCATCACATTATTAACTACCTTACCAAGTCTTTCAAAACAAGTCGCTAATGTTTAATTGATCAGTGGCCCACATTATGTTTTGATTAGGGTCAGTGATATTCAGAAAATGGTGATAACCAGAGTTATTTCCAATAAAAATCATGTGCCTATTTTGCAAGGACACTGAAAAGGGGCGTGGGAGTTAATTACTACAAAAAACTACAAAAATACATAAATGCATACTGCAAGCTTCCTACTTTCCTTTTAACTGTTCACAAACTCCTGCAATTCTTCGGCATGACTCCTTTCCCTATCCCTCACTTTTTTTCCCCAATACTTACTAATTATGCAATAACCATTCATACAATTGTTCCAAAATAGCACTTTAAGAAAGCATGAACACATGTATTGGTTCTTTGTTGCCGTATACATCTCCCACACCTAAGACTTTTCTACATAGTCTTCCCCTTTCTAAAGCCCTGTGTCAGTCTTTTAGAGAAACCAATGAAAATCTTTTGCAGTTTCAAATTAACCTGTAATGTTAACACAGGAAAAAACACAACCAAGCAACTCCTGGAACATTACTAATGCCAGAGTGATGTACATACTACTCTCCAGTTGTTTCTGTACACATCATTCCTCTTTCCTCTTGTGTCTCTTCCTGCTACACCCTTCAGTCTTTTCCTCCCTTTCTCACTGTTTTAATTAATTACTTAATTGTACATATCAGGGCCTGAATTTTAACACTCGTGCAATCCTTTGAACTTGATGCACTGCTTTTCATTTGTCTTTTTCTAGATCTCTCTTCTCTCCCGTTTCCCCTTTGTGTCTTCTGGTGTCCCTCTGAGTTCCTCCTCATTAGTGTTGCACAAATTAGAAATTAAATTTCTATCAATGAAGGACATAGGCACATTCAGAATTCAAATGAAGTCACTTCCATGAAACTTAAAAGGCTTCAGTCTTCCAGCAATTTAAAACAAATTCATGCAGTCTTCAAATTACACCTCTTAAATACCTTGCATAGTTACAGTCCCAAATTCCACAACACCCTACCCTATTTTTCTGTCTTTCACCACTGTCTTCATTTTTAGATACAGTTTTTAGAGGCAGTCAGGATGAACAGCATCTGAGTCAGTGAAGCTTTGCCAGGATCAGTCATGTCACCAGCCACACCAAAATAACTATGTGACTCCAACTTGCACTAACTCCAGAGGTCAGAATTCTGAATATTTCAACATGAATTGTAAAAACTGTCTCTCGTTTAGACCTATCTCTACATTCACTGCAACTCTCAAGCTGTCAGTAGACACAGCAAGGACCAAAGGGGTAATAGTCTATGCTAACTGTAGCAATGACATAGCCTTAAAAGTCTTGATACTTCACAGTGCTGAATAATCTTCTCTAATTCCCCTTCAGGCTTCTCCCTCTCTTTATCAGCCAGCCTTTTTGCAAGCTGAATCTGGCTAACACTGTTATCAAGCTCACCATGCACTTATTCCTTTCTGGGATTCCCCTCAGCCTTTAATTCCCAGATCATTTTCATTCATCTCCCACAGTTCTAAGCTCCACTGAGTATTGCAGCAGAACAGCTACAGACAATGCTATAAGAAAAGAAAGAGAGAAGAGAGATACTAAAGCTGTGGGTAGTTTTCATTCTAATAAAGTCAATCATAACTTTAAAATAATGGAAATGGTGAAGAGAGAATGACTTTTATTTCAGAATTAAGTGTTCTATCAGACCCCATTATTTGGCTAATTTTAACATTTCCTGAACCCTGGAAAGCGTGAGGTGACTCCAAATACTATTTTCTTCAAGATCTGAGGGGAACTTTCCCCCAGCCCCTATAAAGCAAGTGGGAAATTGTTTTTCAGAAACAACATGTTTGGGAATATCTGAAATTTCTAACTGTTGAATCTTGACACTGTTGCATTTAAGATTAGCCTGAGATTTCCTGCAGCCTTAACAATCGTGAGAAGACATTACTACTTTCAAGTCACTGAAATGAGTTTCCTTAAAAATAACTATTTTTAGAGCTTGCTGCCACATATAGCTATGATACATAAATAATGCTTTTTTAAAAGAAGCAGCTGCAAGTAGAACATCTAGAGAAACTTGTCATGGGTGTCTCTATGTAGAAAATAGATGAAGGGAATGAAGAAAATTTTGCATTAGGGCAAAGACCACTTGTGTAGGTCCAGTGCAGAAAACCAGCAGCACTATGAAAATCTACCTTTGATATGTAAAATACATGATTAGTCATGTACCTTTTGAAAATCTATAATAATGTCTTCTGGGTTAAGTTTCAAAGCTTTCGCTAAGTATATAAAATCACAATCATTTCCATAAATTGGCACGATCATTAATGACACACACGACTATTGGTGGTCATTTAAGTTTTGAAATTGTTTTAATGACACCGTCATGTAATTTGAAGAAAGATTACAGTTACTACATCTGCAATTTTAACTCTAAATTAACAAAGTTTTTGCCTGAGAATAAATACTGCAATATGCTAAATGTCTAATTTTTAATGACATTCTGACTAACTCCTCTCCTGCTGTTAACCACGTAATTTGTGTGACTGAGTTAAATTGTCACCATCTGGTACTGGGCAAACTTCTTTCAACAATGAACATTTGACCTTGCATTTGTCACAGTCAGAACTGCAGACATTAACATCAAGAATACTGTTAAAGCATACACAGCAAGAACTTCTACCCCTAGATAATCTCAAGCTTATGTACACTACTGAAAATGCCAACTCAGTGGCTTATTTCTGCATCACATGTATTCTGTCCAAAGTGGGAAGTTATGATCAGAAAGAAATGGATTACATAAAAAACGCAAGACAATTCCCTGCCTCAGGAAATTCAACTGAATCATCTGACTACTGGTGAGGTTTTAAACCAGGCTTGAGAGAGATCAGAATTCAAAATACATTGTTTTTTATTTCCTTAAGATTTCCTTGCAAACTTGGAAATTCTAACTTTAAATATGGAAGGAAAATAAATTATGTTATTAGTTCTGACATGAAGAATTAGACATGCGGTCTTTACATGAATTCTCCACAAATCTTTATCTTGAAGCAATGGCTGAGGTTGTATGCACAGAGCTTCTCTTGCTGCTCTTCTATTTCCCCTCCATTCCTAACTGACCTTTGGGATAACTCTGCATAAGTGCCTTCAGCTTGTAATGGGACACAAGTTTCAGTGAAAAGAAAGGTTAAGATGCCTTTCATTAGCCCTCTGGAGACAGATGCCAGAGCGGCACAGGTGAATCTCCCTAGGAAGACACTCCAGGAAGGTCGAATCCCTAGGGAAAACCTTCCACATTTCTTCAAATTGATTTTAGAGTATCTTTACATTGATGAAAAGATGCAGTAGCCTTTAACACATGGTAGAATCTTAAGCAAGGTTAACTGAGTATGGTTCCCAGCAAAAGAAAAAAAGTATTGTGCCTCATTAAAAGCATGAGGCTAAATGGAGCCTCTCAGTGGAGCCCTTTCCTGGCAGCCTGCTGAAGTGCCTCTTACAAGAAACAATGGCAAAATCACAAATCCCCTCTCCTCTTTCCACTCCTGGAGTCCTTCAAATGCAAAAGTTCATTGTTCTCCAAAACATACTGTATTTTCTAACCTTTGCATGCAAAGCTCTCACAACTCCTTCCCTTCTTTTTCCAGCCCCAGATCCCTTTCTTTTATGCCTGCTTAGGGAGAAGCATTTGTCATTTGATTCAGTCACGTTGTTCTAGTTGAAGAATACATTTTAGAGGTCTCCTCTTGCTACTTTGTGAGAATTCATACACTAAGCATCCATTTCTTCAGGTTTGGTAAGTGATTGGCTAAAAATTGCAGTCCTCTGTTTTCAGTCATCAAACTAGTTTGTTAGCCTAACTTAGGGTCGTTTTTTAGGAAGAGTCTGACATGATATCTATCCTAGTTACATCATCCTAAAACCAGACTTTTGCTCTTGCAAGGGAACAAAGAAAAACATAGAAAACTTCTCTGTTAGAGTAAAGGGCCAGGATCCTATCTTTGAAAAATCACAATACAGGTGCTTCTGAGGGATGCAAACAAATCTAAGAAGGGCAAACATAAGGTGATGTGCAGACACTTTGAAACAGGTATGAAATGCACTGCTAAAACCTGCACAGTTACCCAGTGCTCCTGAACACAATCCGCCATCAACTTAGAGATTGATCTACATGGTTGAGTCAGTGAAACAAGAATGAATAAAAATGAAAAAAGGCTGTGATTTTGAGTTTGTGTTCAAAATCAGTTTTGACACTTAAATGGTGCTTCAATTTTGCAAAACAGGGAAGATAAAGGAAATATTTAGCAATGTATCCTTGTCCAGTCCTACTAGCTTTTAATCTTCCATGCATTCAGCAGATTAAATTGTTTTGTTACTCAGTAGCTCATAACATTTTAATGGAAGTTATATATTTTCCTAGCTACTTCTAAAAATACTTACTTTCTTCTTTCTGCTTCAAATTTACTCAGCAGTTTTCGGAGACCACCATTCTTAAATCCTTGGAAATGGGCTGCCGGGGCTCCCACAGTAATGACATCATATAGACCATCTGGAATAGGAACAGGAAAACATGGAGATTTGCATATGCCTATGCCCAAAGCATGGCAACACTATGATATCTACTCTACAAGACATGAGAACAACAAGCCAGTATTATTTCCAAGGAATAATTGAGAATGTGTGTCTCAGGAAGGCCTAAGAACTAATCAGTCTTTCCATACAGCCACCTGCACATCTTTGAAAGTTCACTTGATTTATTGCTACATCTAAATTACATGCCACACTGTAGAACAATATTCTAGCTCTGCAGTTCTTGGTCCTTTGTGTATTTCACTTTATTAGCTCTCCCATTATTTAACTTGTAATCATGTTGAGATGCACAGATTCATGCATTTTAGAGTCAAGGAACAATTATGATGGAATAGTCTGACTGATTGAATAACACAGACCATATAATTGTAGCTAATAATTCCTGCATCAAGCTTGTCTTCTCCTTAAGTGAAGACATCTCTTTTAAAACAAAACAAAACAAACATGATCTAAAGATTTCAAGTGACAATTAATTCACTGCATTGCCAGATAAGTTGCTCCAATTATTAATCAATGAACATCCTCCTTGTCTTCCCTAGTTCGAATTTTCTTAGCTTCCACTTTCAAATACCGTTACCTTTTTTAATGCTAAATTAGCTAGTTCAATGCTAAATTGAAGAGCTCTGTTCTATGACCTGTACTTACTTCTTACATATGCTTATAAACACAGAGCAAATCAGTTGTTTTCACTTGAAAAACCTTCCAGAATGGGAAACAAACTGTATTAAGGAAACTTTTGCTAAGACAACACATTGTGGTTATTTTCTGTGTGTACTTTATGTCATACATTATTAACTTTTTCCATGGATGTATAGTTACAGAACTGGAGATTTAAACACCTTTTTAAAAGCGGCCTCTCATTTTGTGACTGACTGTCTGTGCAGAGACGAGGGTCCAATTGCATACCAAACCACAACAAATATTCCTTGAAAGTTTAAACTTGCATTTGCAGAATTTACAGTTGCAAGAATCACTACCTGTTTTGTGCTCAAACTCACTGGAGGTCAGAATGCCTCATTCTTGAAATAGATTTCTGAAGAAAACATTAGAGGATATTTTTGCAAACTATTTTATTAATCAAGGAAGCTTTCCATGTAAATTAAAATCTAATCCTCTCCTAAAATAGAATTTTTCTTGCATTCTGATGATAAATATCCCTGGAAGCAAGAAGAGTGTTGAAATGATTAACAGTTAATGAACTATGTTTCACTCCCAGAGAATAATCTCAAAGCATATTCACTCAAATTGATTTGAACTCTAATGAATTGGTGACTCTTCAATTTCCACTTAAAAGGAGAAGTGACGATTTCATTAGCCTCAGGTGAGCTTACAAGACTATTAAATAGCCCATTATTTTAGGGCATCATCAAGATTTATCCATAATACGTAATCTTGCTCTATTAAAGCTCCATCAGTACTTGACAATAAGTAGTTTGATTACTTAAAACAATGGTGGCTTGAAACCAAAATAAGGGATGAACCCATCTGTTTACCTAGATAAGGGCTTCTGAATATGTTTACAGATAGCTCATGAAGCTACATTTAACAGACTAAAGTTTGCTGCTTTTCCCGACTCTGTTTTAAAATCAGTAGTTATAGCTGCTTTGGGGGGGATTTGCTCAGAAGGATGCCTTCACACACCCTGTGGCCTCTGCTTAGCATGGTCAAGGAGCAGCTGCTTGAGGCACAAACACATCCAGTGCCTGCCCTATGCAAGTGAATGTGAGAGAGTGAGGACAGCAAAGAGCGAAAGGTCTATGATCCTGGTGACGGGCATGTGGCAGTCTCTCACTTTCCAGAGCACAGTACACTGGAAAGTGCTGCAAGAGTTGGGAGAAATGCCTTGTGATGTTCACCATTTACATATCAAGGAAGCTCTTTGTGAACGTCCAGCAGTGTCAGCACAAGACACTGGTACAGGAAGGCTCTAGTGACTCAGAACCATCTTCCAACTCCAAGAGCAGGCTACTGCTGACAACTCTCTATAGCGGAGGCAAAGCTTAAAATGCAGCAGGGATTCATAGGAGCTGTATCATGTTGTCAGTGTGCTCCCCCAGAATTATTAATTGCTGCTGAAAAAGCCCTCAACCTTTCCTCAAATAAATCAGAATTTGAAGGAAGAAAATGCAAAACAGAGCACAAAGAAATTGAGCTTTAAATCAATCATAATTTCATACTAATTATTCTGACTCAAAAGATACACTCACATCCTACTTAACTGAAACACTAACACCAGTTACCTAGTCACCAAAAACCAACAATTCCTTCAGAGAACAGAAATACTAGCTACCTGCTCATCACTCCTTCCCAAATAAAGCAGGGGTTTATAATGTGTTGACAACCAGAGTGACATGGTAGTTCCATAAACCTAAGTTTTACCAGAACATTTTAAAGAGCTGAGGGCTTCTTATGTCAAGCACAGCTTAGTCTCAAATTTGAAGCAACTTCTTTGCCTTCACAGGAGACTTTGCCAGAAGCAAAAATAAATCCCTTCAGTACACCAAATTTATTTAAAACAAGCACACTTAATGTATAATCAGGGACAAAAGCAAAGCTACGGCAATATATGAATTTTGCTTCTGTAGTATGATGAACAGAGCAAAATGTGTTGTGTATCATATGGATATTGTTTATATATACATATAATTACACAAAATACATATTCTATATAAATTCTATATACAGAATATGGTCATCCACTAATGAAATACTTTTTTTCTCAAAGCTGTTCCTACCAGAGTTTTAAACACACAGATATTTTCTACTCCTAATACCACTGTCAGTGCCCAGTAGCAACCTGAATCAATAAAAATAAACCTGTTATTAAACACATTGAACAACAAAGCACATATCCATGTGTGTACACATGATAGCTGGCATTAAAACCAATCTTGCAGTCCCAAAATTAAGATATCTGGCGGTGTAAGGGATAATGACAGCTTTGTAGCTCATCACCTTGTGTAATCACCACCTTTGTGAATGTTTACATGTTGGTTGTTTTTTTTTTAATATAAGAGTCTAGGTTATATATGTGCTTTGGTACACGCAAAGCAAAGCACAAGATGAGAATGACCAATGATGTCAAAGTGCTGCTGACTCCAGAATGATTAGCAATTGCTACAAACTGTTCAAAGTGTATATATCAAATAGAAGACAGCTCTTCAGTGCTCATAAAATGAAACATTTCAGTAAACTAAACAGATGCGACAGTGGCTATGTAATAGATACTGTAATACTTTCATCAAGCAAAGACAAATATAATAATAATCCTCAGTTACTTTTGTTATATTTGTATTGTAGTGCTACAAGAATATCCTAAACATTAGGCAGGAGTGTTGATCTGCATGAGAACAGGGAGGCTCTACAGAAAGACTTGGATAGATTGGATCGTTGGGCTCATGTTAATGGTCTGGGCTTCAATAAGACCAAGTGCCAGGTCCTGCATTGGGCCACAACAACATTGTTGTTTGGTAAAAGAAATAATGAAATACTGAACCAACAGAGTATCTAACAGAAAACCAGAAGTCCTCATGTTCCAACTTGGAAGCAGATGAACATCAGTAGTGTACAGTACAATACGCCTATAATTACTGTTTGTACTTACTGTTTTACAATCTGCTTAGATGCAGAGGGTATTTATAAGGCAAAAACCTTAGAGTGTAATTTCTGTGTTTCTACAGTGACAGCAAATTTAAGAGATCTCAATTTATCAACAAACTATTCACTATACTATAATTTGCTCATACGTATGTATCAATATAATCTTTTATCTGTAAGGGATGATGCCAAAACTATATGCAAGTAGCAACAATAGAATTCCATTTTTAACAGCATCACAGACAACACTGCAGAAAAATATCCTTTTTTTCAGAAGGTATTGCAAGTTGCAGTATTTTTAGCATAATTAGTGAAATATTTGCAGTAACCATTAAGCAAGTGATTATGTGGCACAGGGTAGCACTGAATAAGCTGATTTAGGTACAAGCAGGGTTGGGCTCATTAAGACTGTCTAAGAAATAGGATATATTAAGCTTAGAAGAATCACTGTCCTTAGTGGAACTGTGCTACTCGCTACTCAACTAGTGAGTTCATCCTGGCAGTCTCTGGGAGGAAAGATCTTGTGTTCTATCACTGTCACTGGTTCCACAATATGGGAAAAAAACCCAAACCAAAACACCTCAGAAACAGGACAGATAAGACTGGCTTTTGCATCACACTAACAGTATGGATGATCACAATGAAAAATTAAGCTGATGCCCTAGAAGGATGTTTTTCTTACTGAACATAGTGTAGCATGTCAGTATGAATCGTGACAGTATTAGTTCTGCTCTGCTAAAAACAGTGTATTTTTAACCACACATAGGTTACCAATACATTTAGTGAATATAAATTGCGCATTGACTTATTTGTTTGAAGTGTCATAGAAACAAAATGGGCACAACACTCAGAATTTGTTTTAAAGGAAGAACTTAAGAGGAAATTTAGTTAACCACTCAGTGTTCCAAAATCTGCAGTCAGTGTCCAAAATTTGTGGCTTCAGAAGGCAGAGAAATCCCTTGCACAGCTTTAACTTTGAACCTGATTCCTAAGCTTCAGCACAGATTCAGGACTTCTGATCAATCTCAGTAAGTTTGGGTGCAAGTTTATGAATTTCTACAAAAACGTGGAGGACAGGCAAGCTGGCCACTTATTTGGTCTCATGATGTGTTTAAGTCTGGACCTCTACAGACGATATATACTCAGTTGCTCTAGAAATATTCCCAACAACAACTGCAAACTGAAAGGCTGAGTTTTAGAAGCAGATACACGAACTTGAGAGAATCAAATCAAACCCTTCAGAAAACACACAGATTCTAGATTTGTACATAAAACAAATGAAGGAAATAACCACTAAGAAAGTTTCTAGAGCCCATTAAATAAAGTGAAAAAATAAACATTCTAAGCATGTGCAGCAGTACAGATTTTTAAATAATTTATGTGGAAGCTTGATTTTTATTTTATTAAAAAAACCAAAACTGTCAAATAAAGCAAAAAAGCAAGAAACAAGCTAGTCATACAAGAAACCCTCTATATATCAAGCCATACTATATGACTCTTACAAACAAGCTAATATTATACAAACTTCACCAGATGGAAAAACACACGCAGTATGAAATGGATCTAAGAATTTTCTTTAAAAGTAACTGCATTTCTTTTGATATTCTTTTCTCCTTTGCATTCTTTCCAAGCCACATAAGTTCAAATTGCACATAAATTTTCTTTTAAAAAATAAAATAAATTTAATAATATTTATTTCCATGCTTTTTAACTGTAATATCTCCATGCCCCAGCTACAAAATTTAACAAGACTGTTGCCAGTATGCAACCATGAAGTGAAAAATTCAGAATGAACAAGATTCAAGTCTTGAAACAGCACACCTTTCCGTTCTATTGTGGTTTTAAGATTTAACCTGAAGACATGTCCACCGAATGTTTATCCTTGAAGCTGGATATATAAATTCAGATTTTATCTTAAAACAGACTAAAATGGAAACCAAACATCTCAGTTGCAAGTTTAATTGTATTTCAAAGCATACTTTGTCACACTTGATTTCAGTAAAGCATTTGACACCGTCTCCCACAGCATCCTTGTAGATAAGTTGATCAAGTATGGGTTTGGTGATCAGGTAGTGAGGTGGATCAGAACTGGTTGAAAGGAAGGAGTCAGAGAGTTGTAGTCAATGGGGCAGAATCTGGTTGGAGGTGTGTGACTAGTGGAGTCCCACAGGGGTCGGTACTGGGACCGGTATTGTTCAATATCTTCATCAACGACCTGGATGAGGGTATAGAATGTACCCTCAGCAAGTTTGCTGATGACACTAAGCTGGGAGGAGTGGCTGACACACCAGAAGGCTGTGCTGCCATTCAGAGAGACTTAGATAGGTTGGAGAGTTGGGCGGGGAGAAACATGATGAAATTCAACAAGGGGAAGTGCAGAGTTTTACATTTGGGGAAGAACAACACCATGTCCCAGTACAGGTTGGGGGCTGAACTGCTGGAGAGTAGTGTAGGTGAAAGAGACCTGGGGGTCCTGGTAGACAGGAGGATGACCATGAGCCAGCAATGTGCCCTTGTGGCCAAGAAGGCCAATGGCATCCTGGGGTGCATTAGAAAGGGTGTGGTTAGTAGGTCAAGAGAGGTTCTCCTCCCCCTCTATTCTGCATTGGTGAGGCCACATCTGGAGTATTGTGTCCAGTTCTGGGCCCCTCAGTTCAAAAAGGACAGGGAACTGCTCGAGAGAGTCCAGCGCAGAGCTACGAAGATGATTAAGGGAGTGGAACATCTCCCTTATGAGGAAAGGCTGAGGGAGCTGGGTCTCTTTAGCTTGGAGAAAAGGAGACTGAGGGGTGACCTCATCAATGTTTACAAATATGTAAGGGGTGAGTGTCAGGGGGACGGAGTTAGGCTTTTCTCAGTGATGACCAGTGATAGGACAAGGGGTAATGGGTGCAAATTGGAGCACAGGAGGTTCAAGGTGAATATCCGAAAAAAAATTTTTTACTGTGAGAGTGACAGAGCACCGGAACAGGCTGCCCAGGGAGGTTGTGGAGTCTCCTTCACTGGAGACATTCAAAACCCCCCTAGATGTGTTCCAGTGTGATGTGCTCTGGGTGACCCTGCTCTGGTAGGGGGGTTGGACTAGATGATCTTTCGAGGTCCCTTCCAATCCCTAGGATTCTATGATTCTATGATTAGAGAATTTCTCTGCATAATATACTTTACCTTTCAATCGAGGACTATGCACGTGCATTCTTTGCAGATGAAGATTTATTGGGATGAATTCTAATGTTTTTTCTCCTTTACTACAGCTTGATTTGAAGGAAGAACCTGAAAAACAAAAGTTTAAAGAACCATTATCTTAAGCACCCAGCAGATGTTTTGTCTTCTTTCAAATAGGAGGACAATGCGTGTATGTTAGCAGTCTTCTTTAATTTTCTTCTAATGTGTAATTGTATATTAGGAGAAGAAAGGTTCACTGACCAAATCTCAGCAAGCTAGAAAACAGATTTCAATTCACAGAACAATCCAATTTTTTATTCGAGGTGATAGACCTTTTTTTTTCCCCTGCTCATTGCAATCAGTCTGCTGGAAACCATGCCATAGTTAATGTGCATCATGTTTATTATGTGATAAAAACACAAGGGTACAGAGGTATGATGGTACCACATTTTCAACAACTAACTTTTTTTTCTTAAAACAGAACTATTACACTGATTGGACTGTGCATTCTTCCTAGAAAGTTCAAATAAGGAAACATGAACAACCTTAAGAAAAACTATAAATTAGTTTTGTTTCTAAAAAGCCAGAATCACTGAAGCACAATGCTGCAGGGGAAAAAAAAGATATATCTGATTGCATAATTCAAAAGTACAAGATTCTGAATAACTCTAGGGTGGTATAAAATAATATCATTAAAGCCTGGCAGTATGAAAATTTAATTTACCTAGAGATATTTGATACAGCATATAAATAAAATAGAGAGATGTAGATTAGGAAAGAGAGGCAGTCCTGTCTTCTCACTGCAGCAGCCTAACTTTTGCTTAGAGTATTTTTTCTGCACCCTATAATTTTGCCAACTATTAATCACTTGGACTAAAATTCCTCCCATTCAGACAGGATTTAAAAAAAAAAAAAAAAAAAAAAAAAAAGAAGAAAAATGGAAATGTTTGCCTTTTCTTGGGAAAAATAATAATAAAAACCCAAGAGAAACATTTTATATTCTTTTTTTACTTGCTCAGTCGAGACTAGCTAGAGATTATCTATTGAAACTGCCAAAGACTCCAAGAGCACTAAGCACTGAGCCTCCCAATAGCAAATCACATTGCCAGAGGGAACTAATGATGCTCCAGAGCAGTCAAGCCTGCTTAGTCTGCTACCAAAGCTTAATAACGTAATAATTTAACAAAGATTAAAAGCAAAAGTAGCAATCAAAATAATTGTCAGAAGTCAAAGATTTAGATTTTATAAGAAACCAGGAGTAATTTATGGTGAGGAACAGCAGCAGGAAACCTACATCTGGAAATCACAGAAGGACAAAATCATGGGAGCAATGAAGGCAACTAAAACTGTAACATAAAAGAAATGGCAATAGTGGAGCTAAGGAGAGTGCAAATCATTAGGAAAGGAAACAGGAAGGGGCCAGATTATTTATGAGAATTCAGCCATGAGCAAGATCAAAATTTATGGCCTGATAACTGGATTGAGACAAGGAAACACTAGAAGACTAAAAAAATAAGATGACAGCAGAATAAAAGGGACAGGCAAAAGAAGAGCAGGAGGGAGAAGAGGAAAAGAGTGCTCTCCCTGGAGTATACTTCTACCCTGAGCTGGAGTAGAACACATGCAGCATTGCTGAGCCTTGTTTTTCTTCTTTTCAGGGAAGACCTGTGAAACAAGAATTCCTTCCCCGCCAGTGACAGAAACATACTGGGTAATAACCACCCAGTGCTATGTTTTATTCTGTTTACTCAAGTATGAGAGAATCATATAGTGGAATTAATCTCTGAATCTGCATTTGCCAGTGTCATCTATGTGGCAAAAATATTTCTCAGTATAGATTTTAGGTTTGTTTTTAAATAACTTCATAAGCTATATTTAACGACAAAAAAAAATATTAAAAATTACATTCCCCTCTGTTAATATAGTTGCTATTATTCTTGGTGCAAGACTAAGTGCTTCACAGTCAGGAAATACCAGAATATAGATGGAAGCTTCATCTGACATCCACCTGAAGAGGAACTGTGAAATAGCCTTGAATGACACATTGCATACTAGCTTTTTCCATCTCATTGAATGTTCAGAAACTTTGCTGCTCACTTCAGAAGCAGTGATTCAATATTCTGTTTCCAACTTTTACTTCGATATCTGGATTCAAATATATAGCTCAAGCCTCCCACTAAGACAGGAGTATTAATTTCCTCAAACCTGCCTCCTGGATGCATCACTGCAGTTTCTAAGGGCTTTGCAGATATTTATGGAATAATTTTAATTGTCTGAATAAAACAGTTATAATTTGATCCATTCGAATGACAGAGAATAACTTAAGGTTGAAGCATTTAAGAGACAGCATCAATATGAGATATGGAGGATCTCATTCTGCAGAGTATGCATTATAATGCAAGATCACATTATACTGAGCAGAATTACGTTCCCAAGTCCTGAGTACTGCTGCAAAAAAGCTTGTGTCTATTGCCGGGCTTCCAAAAATGAACCATTTCTGAAGTCTGACTTGCCTAGTGTCACTCAGGAACTTTGTGACAGAGGCAGGGATGTTGTCTAGTACTCCAGAGCAATATTCAATTGCCTTTACTGGATTGTCTTTTTCTCTCCTTGTAGGGTTGGATGAATAATACAATTTTAAGTCTGATGATTGAAATGGAAAAAAAATAATTCCTGGGGCCAAAACAAAAAACAAAACAAAACACCTGACATAATTTGTTTTGATGTTATAAAACTCTTTTAGATTTTTGTTGTTCTGTTTGCTTGAAACAAAAATACTCCACATTCTCCAAAATCCTCCCCCATTTTTTAGGATAAAATGCCAAAGCAACTCAAATTTGAAATAGTCTTAACTTCCTTAAGCCTTAATTTTCAGTAAATACGCTGCTAAACCAAAATTGCTATTACTAATGCAGTCTCCTGATAGTTTCACTGCAATCTCTCAACTTCCAAAAGAAATTGGGTGGTCTACTAACAACAGCCTTCTCGATTTTCACTAAGAGCTCAGCTGAATAGTAGGTAAGGTATCTTTCAGAAAATCCTACATGATTATACAAGGAGAATATAGCAAATACTTTGGAAAAATGTTATTTGCAGAGGCTATCTCCCCTTCTGTGTGCTGCTTGTGAGTGACAAGAGCCTTCCCTAGCACTGATACAAAAGGAGATCGGAGATAGGTGCACCTAGATGACTTACACTGTGTTGGTGCTTGAGAATTGTTTCTGACAAGGCACATGTAAAAAGCCTCTTGAGAAAGGAACACAATTGTTCAGTGAGTGACAAAAAAAATTATAAACATGTTAACATTAACCCTGCTTTCAATGGACTAAGGAGGCAGAAGAGTGTCACGGAGCTGGTGCTCACACATCTCTGGCTGTCAACATGGCAGTGAAGCAATGGCAGAAGCAAAAGCAGTCCATGGTTTTCCTAGAGGAATGTGGCCTTGTCTTAAAATACCTCAATTCAGCAATTTTGCTGATTTAGTTTAGAAAACAAACCTTGTTGGGGCCTTAAGTACAAGTACTGCTGATTACAAAGTAGCACTACTAGGATGGGTGTCTATTCCCAAACAGATCTGGATCTCCAGAACAGATGCACAGGTACTCCAGAGTGCTGGAATATTCAAGCTGTTTTAGAATGGAAACAGCCTCAATCCAAACTTGGGTAATGTGCTAAGATAAAGTACAAAACCTACGGAGGCTGAACCATAAAGCAAAATCTTTTCTGGCATCAATTTCTGACAATGGCAAAGTAAAGATGGTGTTGAAATATGCTGACCTGAAAAATGTGAATTAAATTTGTACCCATCTCTAATTTTTCCATTTCCTCCCTTGTGAATACTTACATTTCCAGTCTCTACAGTGTTATCTCAACATTATTTTTTCTACAACTACAATGTCAAGTCAAATCTATGTCCATCTTGCTTTCTTACCAAACACTAAAATCTTCTTTTCTTAAAGTTACAATGTATACTGTTTATAGAGAAGAACCATCCCAAATGGAAAACAAGACATCTTAAAGCATGCAATTAATTTTATTCACAAACTTCTGAGAACTGTACTCTGGAAGATCAATTTGTCTCACAGAGAATTACTTTTTGCAAATTATCTAGGGAAAAAAATATCTGGCTTAAGTAAATAAAGGGACAGCAGAAGCATATAAGAATCTGTTCTAGATTTAGTTTTACTTTTGTGCAGCCAAATCCTGCATAACCTACAGGATCAAAACCCATGTGTGAGGTTTTACCTAGGTCTATGTATTTGTATACACAATACATCCCCCCCATCACTACTTTTTATTTACACTTCTAAAATGTTAGACCTCTATGGAAAAACTTTTAAGGGACACTCACTACTCCTAGAGCTTATTATCTAATTTAATGTGTGATTTAGTAAGAATAGAAATATATAGTGCAGGGTTAAAAGTAAATAATCTTCCTTACAACTGTTATTATTTATCTTCAGAATATGCAAAGATCCTGCTGATCACACTTACAGAAGCTTTTGAACGTTAAAGTAACTTTGCACACAAGATGTAAAATCAGGAGTTTTCTAAGTGTAAACAAGTACCTTACTGGCACTATATTAGTAAGAGGGAATAAAGGGTTGTTGAATAAATGAAATTTAGGTAGGTGCCTGAGCATTGGCCTACAAATTAACACCTTCTCATTATTTCTCATCTTTGCTACAATTTCTAGGTTGCTTTGGTTTTCTACTTTATTTTTTCAGATTTATATTTTCAGATAAATGTTCCTACTCTTTTTTTATGTGCTGTTTGTGTTCTCCTTGATAATCTCAGGTTCCCATTCTCTCCAGCCACAGTTAAGACAGATCATTTAACATCACCAACCCTTTTCAAATTCAAATGGCACAATACAGGCCTTGCAGGGTTTATGCTTTATAAGTTACAATGCTGTGGTTGTTTTTTTTAATCTCAAAAGATCATTTCACTGTCTTCCTGCAAGCGATAATTATTAACGTGATCATTCATAATACTTATTGCCTTTCACACGATACTTTATGGAGTGCTTTCAAAATGTAATGGATCAGACAGCAGTCTGCCAAAATCAGAACTGGAATATTCTGATGATGCTAAATAATCTTGAATACAAGAAATTACAGTTTTGCAACAAAAATGCAAATTTTTATACACCATTTACAGTATCAGATGAGCTTTTTTCCCGACACACATTTAAGCAGGTGATCAACTGCTCCCAGAATGGTTAGTTGCAGTTAGAGACTGTTTTTCGTTCATAGAGTAAAAAAGATTTCTCTTTTCCTGTGACCAAGATGCTATCCCAGAGCAATTTTGAATGAAAAATACCATGCTCAGTCCTGCATTAGATGATCGATAAACATCTATTTTTTAAGGGAAAGGTTTGCGTCTCACCTACTAAATACAGCAGAATAATTATAATAAAAGCAAATGTGCTGTGTTATCCATAAGAAAAAATTAATCTGCTATGCATTTTAGTTGTAGAATGTCCCATTACTCAGTACACACACAAAATTATTTGATCTATGTAGAAAGCTAGAAATAAGAAAATACTGCAAAGTCTCCCTAAATAAATATCAGCTATTTCAGGTGATATAATCATAATTTATACCTCTATTTTTTAACAAATATTTAACCGTAATGTACATCTTTTTCAGAAGTATTCAAGGTTGCAAAGTGATGCCTGTGTAACACAATGCCCAGTGTGACATGCTCTGCTCTGCCCACACACCCACCATTGCAGGAGTGAGGCCACAGCGGAACCATCTCACGGCACAACAGGACACAGAAACACATGCAAGCAGTAACAGCAGCACAGTCATCAAAAACACGTTGAGATGGTGATTGTGAGGATATATGAACAAACAAAAGAAAGGGAATTCAAAAGAAGAAATAATTTGTCCTGTAGTCTTTTCTTGTTCTTTTTGTAAGAATTATGACAGGAGGAAAAGGCCTTTTCTACAAATTTGCCACTCATGCTCTTTACTTCACTGGCACACAGACACTATGATACATGATAGTCCCTGACCACAGAACTCTGGCAAGTATTAACTGAATAAGCACCCAGTGCACATCAGAAGACCACCATCTCCACATGAAAAAGAGCAAGGCAGTACATACTGCTATTTCCGCACTGAGAACAGCTTGCCTATCCTATATTAATTCTGTGGTTTTCTGGCACAAGGTCAATGACAGCTACTACACTAAGAATGTGCAGAGCATAGCTAGATGTTACTCTTGTTCTGTAGATTATATGTAACTTAAGGCAGGTTGAAGAAAAACTGACAGAACCACCTCTAAAGACTGGTTTTGATGAGCAGATGGTATTCAATAATAGCAGAGCAGTATATTCAAGAGAATGTGCAATTAAAGCCCACTTTTCTTTTTTCCCCGCTGTGTAACCACGTATCATGTTAACTGAAAAACTGCTGAAATGCATGGAAAAAAAACGTAGATGAGGAAATAGGGCACCTCTGAGTATCTCAGAAATACGATTACAAATATTTTGGGTGTATGTGTTTTATTTCTGCCGCATAAATCAGCATTTAGTAACAATCAATCCAGTTAATTCTTAACTGCTCCAGAACAGGAGAGGCTATTTCACAGAATCATCAATTCATACCTGCATGCTTCCCAAGCTCTGCAAGAGTATCCTGGTACATGCTCAACATCTGATCACAGTGAGCAATAACACTTTTTCGCATGTTGTCCCAGTGAGGAGCAAGTTCTCCCAAGTCTTTAAGTTCTTGATTCCTGTATCAAAAGGCAAGAAGGAGAAGGCACTGATTAACTCATTGAAATATTAACATTAATCCAAATTAATCCAATTAATCTCAAATCAGTTTGTTAGGATACATCAAAAGCAATTCTTAATTGAAATAAAACCTGTCTTCGTGAGGCTTGTAACATCTGCCGATTTCAGCTCTGTTTTTCAGCTATACAATAATGAATATCAAGTTAGTGACTAATACAGTAATATGTGTTCAAAACTCCTCTGGTGCAAATGCAATAGCCTGCAAACTGGAACACTATGTCCTCCATGAAGGTAAGAAGACTTCCAGGCTCCCTAGAGCTGTGTTCACAGCAAGTTACTTTTTGTGAAAAACATGACTGTAAAGAATACAAAGTTTGTTCCTTTCCAACACTCACAGCATAGATGTTTTGATAAACTACTCTCTGGATACTTTAATACACATCATAAACACAATTCAAGCAGTGTTTCTACAAAAGTCAGTTTAACCAACACACCAACCCTCACCACATTTCTTTAGTGTTCAAAACAAAAACCACAAACAAAAAAAACCACCAGCCCTCTAAAAACTTAATCTTCAGCCTTACAGCTGTGTTCATCAGGTCAAAACAGCAGTGTTACCATAACCAAACATGTCACAGAAAATCCGAACGGAAATCCTTTAGCAAATTATCTGTTTTCCTGTACACTCTTGAGAGCTGACCTGAGAGAAATAGAGATCACACTAATTTCCTACACAAACAAGCTACAGCACACTGGCCTTTCTGTTTGTTTTCCACACTGGCAAGCTAAGTTCATCAGACTTGCTTTTAAAGAAACTTAAAATAAAAGAACTCTATTCTTCAAACACCTGGAATCGGTCAGGAGAAAACTTGTGCAACATGACCAACTAGTTTTCCTCATTTTCTGCAAGGTGTCAATCAGACTGGTTTACTACAATTCTTTTCAGTCTCAAGAAAGACTTAAAGAGGACAGTTCTTGCATACAGGAACATTACTGAGGAAAAACAGGAGGGGAGGGAGCAGAAATGGGGAGAGAAACCCCAATAAGACTGCTGCACAGGAACACAGAGCTACAGTTAGTGCAACAATTCTGACTAACAGTCAAGTCAGCTTTAAATTCTTTCTTAAATAGAAAAGCCCCACACTGAACTTTCCCCCCATCCTTATTAGCTTTGCATTACAGTGAAGAGTATATGAATAAGCTATTTAGGCATAATTCTGCTCCTGGTTAACATGACAACCGAAATCAAATTGATTGCACTGGAAACAGAATTAAAGCACTTTACTTATATATATGTCTTTAAAAGCATCAAAATGTAAACAAAGATTACAATACATTAACTCATCAGGAGTCTACTAATGACATATGATCACTTTTTTCCATTTCATTCAACCTGAAGAACAAAAGTAGATGAAACAGTTCAACTTTCTCCATTGATACAATCTGGAGCATAAGAATCCTCAGCAGTAAAAGGACAAAACCACAATTTTCAACCACTATTTTCCTTGGAATTTTTTAGCAGTTTAAAATGAGACATTCCATTAAATGAAAATTCTCAGGGCTTCCTCCTAAGAAAAGCTCTTAAGATTTGGCAGGGGATATATTTTTACTTACTTGTAATGAAGATATTTTTGGCCCTTAATATTTATGCTGCCTTATTAACAGTTTTAAGAACAATGTTTGGACCTGGCCGAACTCCAAAATTTTACTGCTCCTCCTATACAGAAATATAGTATTCTGCAGAGAGTGGAGAAGGTGAGCACATCAACACACAATATTCAGAGCCCTCTATCCCATGAGAAACCCATGACAAGGATCTGCTCCCCCACTTCTATCTAAGCCCGCTCCTGGGGCTGTTGGTCCCATGCTCAAGCCAAGTAATAGCAGGAGTAGAAAATCCCTTATTTCAGACTAAAATACTCAACCAAAAACCAAAATTGGTTTTAACAGACTATGACTTCATTGACACCACCAGCAACAGTAAGCTCAAATCCCACCATATTAACAGGTTTTCAAGGAATGTCAAATCCTGCTCTTACTGCTGACGACAAGCCGTGAATTTGTTTCATCTCAGAAATACACATCACTAAAGTAAAACAGAACCACTAGCATGTTATAAAAAGACACAACTTATCTTCAATGTTTTAATCAACTAAGTGTGCAATTTTACAGTAATCTATAACATATATAGCATGGGAAGTTTAAACGCTGCCTTTTCTAAACTTATTTTAATTTAAAATCAGTAATATCAAAACCATAGCTGACATGATTATAAGGCATAGATGCCATTCCTCCAAAAATAGTCTTCTTGCATTTTTTTTTTTAATGCAAACATATAAGTCATAGGGCTTAGATGCTATTTCTGTCTTGTGATTTCTTACTATTTGTCACTGCTGTTGTTGACTCAGTACAACTCTAAGTTATGGCTGAGAAAAGAATTCTTTCCTATAATTAAGTCCCATTAATAATATTCCATAGTACCAAACTTTATTACCATTATTGTGAAGGGCCTCTCTCCAAAGTAAACAGACGAAAGAAACATAATATTTTTCAAATATTTTCAAGTTTATAATTCATATTAATACACACTATAGTCTTAAAAATATCTTTAATTTGTTTTAATAGTACTACAATAATTATGCTAGAACTTATTTCACTGAAGAGCTTTGAAAACACTTCAATCAGCAATCATGTCTAACAATTGTGCTATAAAAAATGTTAATATTTATAATATATATTGGTTCTGTGAAGGGCAAATCTGTTACAGATTTACTTTCAACACAGACATGGAATGTTGAATAGCTTGTCAACAGTGCTGTAAGCTCAGAGCAAACTCAGTATCGTTTAAAATAGAGCTATTTATCATCTTGTTCCCCCACTCCAAATCCCCTCTCCAAGTCTTTTCCAGGTAATTGCACTTATAACCATGACAGATCCTGTGCTCAACATCAACTTCACCCTCCTTACAGAATCAAATCCAAGTTTTGTCTACTTCTCGCTGTTTAGCTCCTCCAGACGCCTTGTGGAGAGATTTTTATGTCAATGCACAATGGTGACTTCCACCTAGGAATGTCTCTCAACTTCCATTGTCTCCTGCCTCGATTACTTCAATTACTTCCCTGTTGGCCTTAACATAATCTTGCCCCATTTGCATCTAACCAGAATGTGGACAAACAGACTCTTTCCTCCTCCTTCACTTCAAAAATTAGCTAAATTATTTATTTTTAAACCTTCAAATCCATTATTTCTCTTAGTAGACTAATTATGCTAGCTTTCACTGAGTACTTCCCACTGGTTGGAAGCAGTTCCCCCTCAAAAAAATTGAAATCTACCTGCTACCTTTTCTTCAAAACTCTTTTATGCCATTATGGCAGAAAAATTTAATACTGGATCCTCAGCTGCTGAAAGCACTGATTGTTGGTATCAGGATTATTGATTATTGTTGCTAACACAACAATTTTAAAGAGATAAAAAATTCTAAGATATGCGACTCCCCTGGATCCCACAGCACTATTAGGAATGTCATTAACCTTTATTTCAGACTTGCTGTTTTACATAGCTACAATTTGTGGACACTTTGCCCTTGGACTTGAGCTTTGCCAGGTGAAAACCGGTGGTCAGTGACAATAAAATCAAAATAAAACAAAAAAGAGCAGCTAGATATTAAGATGAGCAAGACAAGTCAGAAGGGAGTACTCCCTCAGCTAACTTTTTTGGATCTGATGATTCTCTCAGAAAAGAGAACACCAGGAATAACCATTTGCATCATTAAAGACACAGCACAAGTCTTCACACATTGAAAGATGAGGTTGAAAAGGTGTCTGTTTATCTAAGGGAGAGATAATTAAGAGGATATATGAAAAAAAAAAAAGCACATAAACCACAAATGCTGTATGTGGACAAAATAGTAACTTTGGATTTGTTCAGCTTCAAAAATCCTGTGATGCAATTCCCAGTGAAGCAAACATGACAAATCAAAACAAAAAAGGAAGTGATTTTTGCCCCCCCCAAGCAAAGTTACCTTCCAAACACACTTTCACAAAACACAAGAAGCAAAGGGCTTAGCATGATTCAGAGCAAGATGAGACATTTCTGCAGATTATATTTGCAAGGTTTTATAATATTATAAAGGCAACACATTTCTGAATATTTATCCAACAGGAGCTTTAGAGTTCATATACACTATAAGCTTTGGGGCATGACTCAATCACTCATAAGTAAAGGAAACCTAGAAGCTTCCTTCTAAGGAAGGAAGCAAAGGAATTATTCTTCCTAAAATTTTCCTAAAAAATTCCTAAAATTTTACTTTAAAGTGCATATTTATGGATAGCCATTTAATTGTTTTTAAAATTATTTTTTTGGTAGAAAATAAGCAGATATTTTTTTTTTACTAAAAGTTGGAATCCTGTGATATATAACCCACCAAAAAAATACAACATTCTCTCCAGAAACAAAAGAATCATAATCTTTTGATTATATTGTTTCTAAAACAGACAAATAACTACCAAGGATTTAATCCCTTCTGGGGAAGGTACTGCAAAAATGAAGAAAAGGATATTTTTCTTTCTTTCCTAATAGTTTTCATTTAGAACCTCTTGAAAGCAGTTGCCATTTTTATCTTTTTACAGGGTTTCTCAAGATTATTTTAGGTTCTAAAAACTAAAATGTAGTTTAAAACAAACAAACAAAAACAATCAAAGAAACTACCCAAAAAACCAAGATACCAAACACATTACAAATATTTTAAAACCTGTTTCTGCTGTGTACATGTGGAGAATATACTGGGATTTGCAAAGGCCTGAGAATATTTTATACTGTTCCTGAGAGCTGGTTTTATCAAGTTCCTTTTGCCTTTCTATCCAGCACCATTCCCTTTTTATTATCCAAATGTGTTGACAATATATAAGCTAAGTAAAGACATTTCTTCCTGCCTTAATTCCCTTCCTTGAATATTTTATTACTTGGGTTTATCTCTGAAAGACTCAAGATCTTCAAACAGCATGATCATTTGAGGTTAATTCTGTGATTCACATTTAATAGCAGAGTATAATTCTTCTGCATCACATGATTGCAAAGAATCTCAAATTCAGTAATACTCAGAATGGCATGTGTGGAATTTACACTTTATCCTAAATTACCTTTTAGGAACAAGCAATAATGTATAGAATCGTTAGATGTTGTTTCTCTTGGTTGTTTTTTTAATTTTTACTGTTTTATCAGGAAACACTAGCATCATCTTAAGACTATGTTGCTTCAGCTCTATGATATCAGCAAAAAAACAGTTTACTTTCATAGTTTATAACTTCATTTCTTTCAGCTTGGTATCATATATGTGGCAAGATTAATCACATTATTAATTGCATGATTACTCAAGCATTTAAACATTTGTATGAGTTTTTGGGGGTTTCTGGTGCCTCATTCAAATTAAACAGTGAGGATCTTTATGACATGAGCAACATAATAAAACCATACAAAGCTTTTTTAATCACCTTAATTCCTTAACATCTCTAATTTATATTCTCTGCAACTCCAGTGACATGAATTGACAAAATTACACCCAACTTACTGGTGTTAGAACCACAGATAAGCACTGGTAAGTGCAAAATCTCTAGCTAACAACATAAAAATTCAAATGCCTTTGTGATGACAGAATGAGTGTGTTAAAATAATTATAATCTTGAGAAAAAGATTAGTGTTCAGACACTGCAATATATTATAACCCTTAGTTTATAAATTTTGGGGTTTTAAACTGATCATGTTTGAGGAGGGCAACTGTCTAAATACCACTCACAAAAATTCAAGTTACACTTACATTCATATACTTCTACTCCTCTATGCAGTAACTGACGGAGAACAACAAGAGAGATGTATTGCATCCTTTTTGATACACAATGGGATAAATACTGCAGAGGCATGAATTTCAGCTCCACTTGGCATGTGGAAAAAATTACTTATTTGAACATTTGTGCTAGGTAGCTATTTGAAGGTAAGGATTTAAAAGTCCTTAAGTGGATAGCATAGTAACACAGTCCCTGTCTACACGTGGTTGGTTCAAAAAGCTTTAAAAGTCAAGGTAAGTTTAGTCAGAATAACTTTTTTTAAGCTGTTAGCTCCTATCAATACAATGTTTTTTGCAGTGAAATTGCTCAGAAATAAGTTATGTAAAAAATAACACGCAAAGGCCTGGAAAAAAATCAATCCTACCAATACATGACATTTCTGCCTCCATTTCTCTATCCAAGTGGCATAGAAAAAAACCCGCATCTTCCAGAATATCTGAACTTTGCCCTCATTCTGTAATGTTACAAGAAAGAAATAAAAAAAGAGACGAACAGCTCAGATTTGCACAAGAAAAGGCTACAAGGAAGAGAAGATCAGTTATAGCTGTAGGCACTTCCCTTCTGAGGGGAACAGAGGGTCCAATATGCCAGACAGATCCTCTTCCTGGGGATGTCTGCTGCCTCCCTGGGACCTGGGTTAAGGACATCACTAGGAAATTTTCAAGGCTGGTGCAGCCCTTGGACTATTGCCCACTTCTAATCTTCCATGTGGACAGTGATGAAGTTGCAACACATAGGCCAAGCTTCAGAGCCTTGGGACTGTTGGTGATGGAACCTGGAAAACAGGTTATTTTTTCCTCTCTCCTTTGAGTAGCTGGCAGTGACATTGGAAGAAACAGACAGATCCAGTCTATAACTACAAAGTCTTTTTTATAATCATTAGGTTTGAAAAACTACTCAGCTAATCTTGCATGATAGATGCAAAATATCTGGACAAGACTTGTGTAAAAAAAAAAAAAATTAAACAGGGGAAAGGATTTGCTGGCAAACCTCGAGGAAAAAACAGAAATAATTTCTTAATAAATAACAGCAAAGCAGACTGTATGGCCCTTCTTAGAACAATAAAAATTACCGTATAGCTCCTATTAAAACTTCTTCCAAGGAGGCTTGAAGAATAAAATCTTTAATGCATGCATATCTTTCATGCTGAAAAACAAAGTTAAAGAACCTTAGAGATTACATATTTTGGAGTATCATGTCAGTAAATTTTAAAATCTGGTTAACAGCGCACACCATAGTTTTATCAAAATATAAACAATCTTAAGGTTATGAGAAAAGGGAATCTAAATGACCATTTAAAATACAATGAGTGGGATTAATACTTCAGTATCTTTGATAGGTCATTGCTTCAGACCTATCTATATTGAAGTCACATCAGGAATAATGTGAAACAGCCAGACGATAACAAGCGGTCTCTGAGACAAAAATACTTATTCTTTTATACTACCTTGGAGAAAAGGATGCAGACAACTATACTTCAGAAGGTAAAAGCCTCAAGATGGTGCAAGCTTTGCACAGGTTCAAGAACTAATACAGAAATATCCTCCTAATATAATTTTATTGATTTAGAAACCTACAGAGTCCATAAAAGCACAAATTTTCCCAATTATTTCAAAAAGCAAAGCCCATACAAAGCTGAGGCTCCAAACTACACACTTATACAGCCATAAGTGACATAGACACCCCTTCTTACCATGTGCTAGGATTCTACCAAAAGCTGTTGCTCGTCTTGGTTGATGTTACCTCCTTCCCGAGACTGATACCATCACTTTGTCTCCCTGTCATACCCACACATTCTTCTAGGCTTGAAGAGCTAACCAGACATTGACAGTCAAGAAAATCAGAATCACTTGTCTCAATTTTTAATCAACTTTTAATATGTTTCTTCCTCCAAGCTTTTCTTTATTTTCGTGATTATTGAATAAACATTAAAAAAAACCCAACAAACCACGGTGATTCTTCACTATGACTTTATCCAACGAGGTGAATGCTATAATACAAAATAACACCAAGCACTATCACTTGCGTTATGCCTTCGGAGAGAACAATGCAATAGTAGTAAAAGTGGTTAAATAATTCCCTAGTATTTAAAAGGCATTTACCCATAGGGCAAATGAAAATCTGGGAAGTAGATAAAATGTACAAGTCAGCATAATCTATTTTTCTATTATTTACTAAAAAAAATCCTTACACATTAGCATTCTCAAACAACATCAGGCCATATATGGCAAAACACACTACTACATGAATAAAGTATTATAACAATTCGTATGATTTTTATAACCCATCATCACCATGCATAAGTATGTATCAGTCCATTTACTTTATTAAAAGCAAGATCCTAGTCTCCCACATACTGTTCTATTGGCATAAAAAGATCATACAGAAGCAGCAGTTGGGTGGATAAAAAAAGGAAAGCAGCTCATACTTTAGGACAAACCACCATGGTAAATAACCAAAGGCAAACCCCTCCTATGGAGTTGCCTCAAAGTGCAAAGGATAGCTTTGAGATGCAGCACTAGCTGTCAGTGTTATACATGAGACCAGAGGCCCACCTATGTGTGAGGCAACTTTCATGAGGAAAAAGGAAATACCTTCTTCTACACCATCCATTATAATTGGAAAAAGAAGGCATGCTTTCAAGCAAGCACTGGACTGCTTAAGTTATTGCTTGTTTTTGCGGTTGTATCAGCACAACTTACACATACTCAAGAACAGGCTGCTATTTTAGTTGCTGCAGTTTGAATTTGGACATACAAAGGATTTGGGGACATTTGTGTTCCTTACCCTTTTTTTTTTCAGACCATATGTATTGTAATGATCCTCAGATGATCCTTCCAGTTACAAGGTTGGCCTTGAACAAATGTTTTCAATTTATATTACTTTGGTGTCCTTTTTCTTATGTCAATTAATTTACACTAGTTAGAAGAATGTGATTTATATTCTCATTGCTCCTTTATTAACTACAAACATGTCATTTAACATTGCTTGCATAACGTTTGTCTGTGACATTAGAACTGCCCAGACACAAAGTCAAAAACACTACAATGTTTTTCACACCCTGGTCATATGTGGTTTCTTTATAAAATTTTAACTTTTCAGAATATTTAGATGTTCATGGTTACATATTTGAAGTCACGACCACACTCTAGCACAGCTCATTACTCAGAACTTATGAAGCGAATGGAGTGCTAAAAATTCTGAGCAATCAATCCAGTTGTTCAGTTACAGCTGTAAATTCATAGAAGCCAAAAAAAATAACTGTGTTTTGCTTATTTCATACTATAATATTTTATCTCATCACTTACAGTATTCCAAATCAGAAAAATAAAATATAGTATTTACTATTGTTGTGACTTCTTCCTTACCTTCGCATGTCCTCCTTTATGTGCAGATTTATCAGTTCTTTAGGAACATGGAAAGAGAGGGTGGTCTCAGCCATCTGTTCCCGGATTCGCATCCACTTGTTGTCAGAAGTAGGGAATCTATATAACTTACAAATTGGGTTTTTTAACACTGCAGAAAAGAAAAATTATATCATTGCTTTACTGTGGTTATATGACTCTTTGATAATTTATGACAACAATTTCATCCAAAAATAATACGTTATTTCCCCCCTTGCTTCCAGAATTAATTTCAGAACCATTAAAAATCTATTAAAGGCATTAAATTTTCATTTAATTTATTATAGCTGCATGTGGAGGACAAAGTATTACTAGTACAGTAGATAAATCACATTTTACCCTCACAGTAGGTATCCTGTGAAGTTAGCATTTCAGTGAGAATGTGAATTATGCTCTCTGTTCTTACACTTAAGATACAGTTAGGAAAAACGGAATGCACAAATAAACAATGAACTCACAAACAACACCATCACTCACCATCTGCTAGAATCACTCATGTTGCCCATACATTGCAGAGGACAATCAAAGCATGCCTCAGAATTTCTCTGTATCTGTTCATCTTCTCCATGATACATACACATGGAAACCATTAACAAAAATAGATGATGCACATCTACATTAAAGGAAACTTGACCATTCACATGGTGAAGAGGATGTTGTTTTTGAGTCAGCTTGGTGACTGACATGGCCAAGACACTGCCATTACATGAAAATAAATATCCTAATTATATTTTACACACTTCCCAGATAACTATTGCTGCTTGTCATAGGAAAATTACATTACTTGGTGTCTTGAAAGGTTATGCTTAAAACCCACCATGTTTTTATCTTAAAGCTCTCATGGCTATTTTTCCATTCAGATGTTACAGTGATGCTCTATAATAAAAGTGGGCAATTTATATTACACTGCTAAACTTACTTGGAGACGAATGAACATCATTTAACACACAGATCCACCACTTCCTAACTCAGAATTACTTTGGACAGCCATTCAAATCCTCCAACAATGCCTTTGTATCATCCTTCTGGAAAAAGCTGCCTTAGAGCAGGCTCCCATTGATCTGCCACTGAATGGTCTATAACTCAAAGGAATGTATTTCCTATGCGCTCTGCAAGGAAACTGTTGCTGTCAAAACAACATCTACTAATAGAAATTTCAGCTTCACAACTCACTGCCACCATTATTGCCTAGGTAGGCTGATTTATAGAGAATGAAAAACAAAGACCAAGTAACCAAAGACAAACAAACTGTCTTGTCCATCTAAGCAAATTGTTTTTTAACAGAAGTTCTTCAGGAAAGGCCTAAAACAAGACCACAGGTTCAAAGATAACTAATAAAATGGTTGCGAGCAACTCATAAAGAAAGGAATGTTGTAAATAATTATATTTAAGTAAATGCAGATGTATTGCTTTCTGTTCCCATCACTCTACCAACATTTCTAATCATTAACCAGGAAACAGGGAGTCTTCTTAGAATAACTTTGCCTTTATTAGTGATTTTACTTACAAAAATTAAATTCTGACCTACTGTTATGAAATAATCCTAATAGAAGATTGTTAGCTATGGCATATGAATAACAACAATTTTTGTTTACTCGGAACACCCAAAATACCTCTATTTCCAAGCATCTTTACACACATTTTGCAGCTTGAGAATCCTCATCACACAGTCTTACGTTTTGTCCACTACAAAAAATAGCATTTCCAAGCCCTGTGGCTATGATCAACTTAGTCAAGTGTGCTTTATTATATTATTTAATTAAAACATACACTGTCATGGTTTCCTATTTTCCTCTTCTTTTGTTGAGACTCTTCTAATTAACAAAATCAGTTTTGTCAATAATATTGAAAGCCTCTGTCAGTCCACTAAGCAGACACATGATAGCAATCATCTCCCATTAACAAGACAGAGAATGACGACCTTCAGGTGTGAGGGAGAGCCCAAGAAAATAAGGCCTAATTCAGATTAACCCTTAAACAGAAACTTCCCAAACAGACTATAATTGTGTGTTGTTTTGGGGATTTTTTGTTTGGAAAGTTTCTGGATACGTTTTGGTTTTGTTTTTTTTTGCAGTGCCTCCTGTTCAAGAGGAAGCAGGCCACTACTTTTCACCAGGACATTTCAAATTACAATGCCTCAGACACCAAAGGTTCTTTTCTGTTTTACTTTTTCATATCTACTTTCTAAGAAGTTATCAAAGGATGTTTTTCTAAGAACAGCACTTTTGCAGTCAGAATCTATTACATTCAAAACCTCACATCTGTCTGTGAAAACCTTATGCAGCTCCACAATTCATTCTTTCCAGTCTCCCTACTACCATCATCATCACCATGATCACACAGACAAAAACATAACTAAAGAAAAAACAAACAGTGGGATTGCAGCATGATGGAAAAGGAGGCCAGGAATCACTTGGAGAAATGTGGATCCAAAGTTGTGACTTTCATCATTGTTAGAAATATTGACCCACTCCTCAGGTGCTACTTCTAAGTCTGAATTTTCAGATAAGGATAATCTCTAGAGTGTTGCAAGTTTTAAAAAATGGCCAAAACATTTCTCCAGTGGTTTATGAAGAAAATTTCATTTAAAACTCAGGAAAGAGCCTGGGAGTTCTTGTTTTCACAAGGAATCCAAATAATTCCCATTTACAGCATTGCTAAAGCTTGATATTGGTAATAAGAGCTGCACAATACTTGATGGTTTTCTCATAAATAGAACTAATGAAGTCACGTGATTCTGTCAAAATCTCAGATGTATTTTCTTTTCAAATTACAACAATAATTGCTTTCTAATATTATTACATCAAGTTGTCTAAAAAAGAAATTCAGAATGCATGTAAAACCACATAGACAGTAAGAATAGCAAGACTAGATTTGGCTTTTATAAAAAGTAGTTATTAAAATGAGCAGAAGTGTCAGAAAGGTAATCCTTCCTGCATCTAGACAGTGATCATGAAAGACACTGGAAAAAAAAATAATCCAGATGAACTGCTGTTTTTAAAAAGAGGCAAAACTACTTAACATTCTTGCTCTATAGTGTGAAACTGAAAAGAAAGCAACCTGTTTTACCATCCTTAATTTGGACATTCTCATTTTTAAATTTCATGTCCTCTGTGCTTTTTATTCCATGCAAAAACCCTTCACATCCAAACAACTGGAAAACTCTCCAGTTTTACAAAGAAATAACTGAATTTTGAGATATACAAATTCAATCTCTTGGGGTATAAATAGAATAGTGATAAGCCTCTCTGAAATATGATACTAATTCCGCTCACTCAGTAAGTACCTCATAACTCACTTGAGGGCTGCAAGTTCCGTATATTAAGATTTAAATTTCAGAAGAATGCCTATGTGCACCTGTGTCTACAGGCCTAAAGATTCACACAAGGTTATTTCTTCAGTTTCATAGTTTTAAGTGCTTGATAAACAACATGAGATGGAAAGAATAAGCAATCTTTACAATATACATGTGTACTAAATACATATACATATGTAATGAATATACTGTGCTGTAGATAGCTATGTACACAGTATGGAAAGCAGTAAAGGCAATTGTCAGTGTTATCAGGTTGCCTGTAATATACTTCAAACACATTACTGATGTTGTTCCTTTCCCTTCAGTCTTTATTTTTTATTGCCTCTAATTTTGCCACAATGAAATTTGTATGGCTTAAACAGATTATCTTCCAAAATTTTCAGTTAACACAGTCCAGCTACACAGAATGAGGGCAGAAATCTGCAATAGACAGTGTGTGCTTTATAATACTGAATTATGAGAGTATACTTTTCACAGAGATGTGTGTATTACCATATCCATGGCAATCCACCCAGATCTGACAATGACCTAAGCCTTGGGAAAGAAATCTCAGCATGTAAAAACTCAAAACTTGAAGTTCACACCTCGTACACACACCAAGAGTCTACCTTTACTGAAAATTCATCATTCCCAGCTTTTAGTACTGACAAAACCATGCACATGTCATTTGTTCAGAGTAGATAAATATGTTTTTGGGCAGAGCTAGTGTGTGATACAATACACTGAAAGGGAACATTGTCACCCATATGAGAAAGCCAGTCTCCAGGCAATACAAAGATCTCTGATCCACATGAAGCCCAGTCATGGAAGCATGCTGGGGAAGAAGTCTGACTAGAAGGGCAAAGAGGCTGAGAGTATAAAAGGAGAGCTAAAAATTCCTAAGATATTGGAAATTTAACAAAAAGAGTGGGACTAACAAAACCTGGAACTGGTGCCAGATGTCAGTAGGGAAGTGAAGGCAGTGCTGGAGTGTGAAGAGGAAGTGACAAGTACAGGAAACAGACTGAAGAGTAAGTATTTATTAGAACAAACTTCCTATGACTGAAAACTCTTTCCAATATCCTGCCTGGTTTCATTACTTATGTATGCATCTGCAGTTCTGCTCTTCCCAAAAACAAAAAATGGCAAAAGAATCCTCCATTGTGTTTGATGTTATAAATCCTAGTCATGCTGGGTAGGCTGGGGGTTTGGGGTTGATGTTGTATATTCGTACATGAGAGAAATGCTAAGTGATGTCTAGATATACTGTAGAATCACATGTAAATACAAAAAAATGATTTAAACTTCATTATTCATAAAACTGACATCTGCTTTGGAAGTTCCAACAGTTCCAACAAAGCACATTCCCCAAACTACAGCATTTCCTCATGCAAAAAAAACCCCAAAACAACAAAAAACACCACAACAAAAAATCCCAATCAAACCTACCCAATGGAGGCAACCACTCGAAAAAAAAAATCAGTAACATTTTATTTGAACAGAAATGTCATTTCTGTAAGATCCATTTATCTGGATGACATACAGAATCAAAGAGCAGCTGCACTAAGCTAGATGAAATTGTTCAACTGGCTCTGTATCTTGTCTCCAGGATAAATAAATATGTAGAGGTGCAAGATATTCTCTCTGCCTCCAACTATTTTCAGTTCCAGAATTTCCAGAGCCACATGTATTCCCTGTGCATTTAGTAATTCTCAATGCAATTATTTTCCACAAACATTATCTACTTTCACATTGAAACAATGAAAAGTAATGGCAGTTCTAAAGAAATTTTGTTCCCTTGCTTCTCATATAGTCTCAACAAATGACAGAATAAATAAATTACAGCATTCATACATACAGGGAAAATTTTTTTTTGAGGTTTCTAGCACCTCCTTTAGACCACAAAGCTACTCTAATAACTCTCCTGTCCTATCAGTGAAGTAATACGAAAACATTTCAGTAAAGGTTTTAAAAGGTTTCAAAAGGTTTCAAAACTTCAGAAACATTTCAACTGTATGCAGCAAATACACAGAATTCTTGACAGCACTGTGGTTTCAGATGACCCATATAACTTATTTGTGACATTGTTACAGCAGAGTAGTGGAGATTCATAAACTTGGGCTAATAAAACTTTTACAGTGCAGCATATCAGCATGTAATATTTCTCAGTATAACGAAAGTGAAATAGATCTATTCAACGCCGTACACTCAAGCTCAGAGTTGACCCAGAATTGAGAATGCCTTGCCAACAGCTTTCTTCATTTTAGAACACATAGCTTCCAGATCATAATTGAAATGGTCATGTCATCAGCTATGAGAGAGATTAATTCTCTAGGGTATTTGGTTGCAAATAAGGCATAATTACTTTAAAAGAATAAACATAGTAAGGTTAATTCCATGCCCACTGAAGTCACTGACAGAATTGAAAATCATTGAACAGTAAAGATGTAGGAATGGGAGGTCTCAGCACTGCTTGAGAAAGCATAATTGACATGCCGGAAAGATTTCTCAGTAAAACGATACTATCAATATGTATAAAACATTGACATAATAAACTTTAAAAATTGTGCATCATTTGAAGAGCCTTAGTGAAATCTTCGTGATATATTCAGGATCTGATACAGCATTGCAACAGTCATCTTTAATGGGTGTCAGAATACTTACCCGCGTTTAATGAAGGCAAGTTGTCTTTGCCACTTAGGCCGTCAGTGGCTGTGCATTCACGAACCAACACACACTACAAAAGAAACACAGATGTACCACATGTAACACGTTCAGGTATTACAAGGAAGTGGTTTAAAAATAGCAGACTGAAATAATATAACATTCCAACCTTTAATTATAATGCACATTTTTATCTTTGTACTTCTGTTCAAATATACTGTAACACAATCAGAATTACAGCAGTGAAAATGGCAAAATATGATTGCTTATTCCATAATAAAACAGATTTCTTACCAACAGAGTGGCAGAAGATAAAACAACGTTTGACAAGTTCTCTGCTTTCAGAGAGGATTCTTTTGACAAGGCAGTTTTCATATTCACAGTGTCAGCAAAGTACTCCATGAATTTTTAAACAAGGAAAAAGCAGGAACCACAAAAAGTCTGTAAAATGTGCTTGCTGTTTGTGATTGAAGGAATTTGTTTACACGTGAACTGGAAGATTTCTCTGATAAGATTAGCATATAAATGTATAAAAAGTTTATGGAAAAATCAACATGTATAAACCTATGTTAAATGCACTAGGATGTAAATTAATGTTTTTCCTCCCCGCAGTCAGAAAAAACAAAACAGCTTCCAAAGGTGATAGAGAGGTCTGCTCCCAGGGCTTCCCCAGTTTATACATGTTTTGTTGCACAACCTGAAGCAAAGAGCAAGACATGATGTACTCTCTTCCAGTTGATATCTCAGATTGAATTTATATATCACATTAGTCTTCCATGAGGGACTAATTCCCTGCATGCAGTTTCTCTAATGAGTTAGCAAATGTAATTAAGATCTTGTTGCTTAGAAGTAATTCAGTAAATCTACATTTTCACAATTCCATCTTCACTATGAACACCTAAACTAAGACTCTGTGATGCAACACCAAGATGCAACTAATCCATAAAAACTAAGAACTCCTTTAAAGACCACAGAAAACATTGTCACAAGGTTAGTCTTTCTTGATAAGTATTAGAAACTCCTAGAAAGATGCTAGTAAAACCTTCTGGCTCCCCCAAGCTGGACACAGCTTATTAATTACATCTCAAATAACTGTGAGAAGTCTTGTTCCACATTCTAAAATGGAATAAAAACAAAATGAAAGAGAAGGCTGAAAAAACAGTTCACGTTGTATATCTTGTGGAAGTACAAAACTGGAAATATTTCCCAGCATTTGTTGGCTTTGTCAGAACTGGTCCCACTGGTGCAGTGTTTTAAAAGTGTTGAAGTCCTTTGAAAAGAATGATGAAAAAAGAAGTGTAAAATCTCTCTCCAAAGGTTGGTCCAAAAGTGGAATGTTTTGGCTGAGCAAAAAAAAAAGATATTCAGAATTATGCCCTTTTCTCAAAAAATACATTTGTATATGTTACTTTTAAATAAAAAATAAAAATTGCGGTATTTTACATTCCTTGTAGCATTATCTGAAGTTGTTTGTTGTGGCTTTTTTCCATAAAGTGCAGAATACATTATAGTATATACCAGTACACCATAGTATCAGGGCTGTAAAAATTCTGTCAGCAAGAACGGGGCAGCAGAGCAGAAATACCAGGAGAAGGCAACTCTACACAGGTACTTCAGTTGGTATCAGCCAGGGACCCAGCTAAACAGACCTTTTTATTAACTGCAGGTCATTCAAACCCTGATTTCCTCACTCTGAGCAGTCATTTCTGAATCCATCCCAAGCTCAAACCTGCCATAATCATAGAGACAGCCCATCTGTTCCTCTCTCCCTCCTTCAGTTCTCCATTACTCTCAAATCCACTTCCCCCATATCACCTTCAGTCTCTGCCACTTCTACCTGCAACAACCTGCCTACTTTAGAGTATTTTTGCTCTTTCTAAGCTTCTCTTGTCCTTCCTCTCAACCCACACCATGAACACCCCAACTCAGAATCTCTACATACACCCTCTGCTCAACACTGCCCTATGCTAGCACTCTGAGGTCCCATTGCTGTTGCCATCCCTCCTGTTGATCTTCCCCACCCCTGCATGCTCCCATGAAATGCAGCTGAACCTGCTCTTTTGCAAGGGGATTCACCTCTTCTTTGGTTTGCCTGTCATTCTTTCCAGGCTTTCAGTTTTGTGGGCAGACATTGCACATAAAAATCCACATGAATAGGATTTCAAGGGCAGAAAACAGAGGAACCATCCAAGGGAAAAAGAAGTCAGATTTTATAGCATCTCTATACACAGGTTTTGGTTTTGGTGTTTTTTTGCTTTGGTTTGGTTCTGTATCAGAAGTGATTAAATACGGTCAGTTGAAGTCAAAATCAGTTCCTTTTTTACTAAAGGAGGGGAGGGACTTGGAAACCAAGAACAGAGTATTACCTTGTACATTTTCATGAAAAATTATTTTTAGTTTAGGAAGATTAAATGTAGAAACCACTTGATTGCAGAATTTTTTAATTAAATCCTTAACCCAATTTGGAATTAGTAATTTAGACACTTGGTACAGCTGATCATTCTAATTAACTTTGTGCCAAGAAGTGAGTTTCTACCTTTTGATCCTGGGCGTCTGTTTCAATGTTGTCTGTTTCCCCATCCTCTAGCTCTCCCATCTTCACAAGATTGACTTCAATGGTACCAACTGTCTTTCCACCATCAGAAGTCCTGGAAAAAAACATCATGACATTGAGTCACCTGCAGTATCACACAACAATCTTACTGCTTTGTTTCCTAACTAAATGTGCAAAGAAAGGACACGCTCAGTATATTAATAAACCTCCTGCTGATCCAAAATAATGAAACTAATTTCAATATCACTTTCATTTTGCAATCCCTCCACAGTGTAATTATTCAGAATAAGTCCAATTTCTTTAACTATATTTGAGAAGATAACATAGTTCCAGGTGAATTTCTTAATTTAATTTCTGCAGACAGTTTACTTCTAATCAGGCAAAAATAAATAGCAATTCAGATTTGTATCTGCAAACAAAGAGTATTGCTCACTACCTTTTGGAAGAAGCAAGAGTTTTAAACTCCAAATGGATACTAAAAGTTTTTAAGCTTTCACTAGTAGCAAAACACCAAGATTAATGGCACAGTCTGTCTCCTCTGGCTTAATCTGAACAGTTGAATTTTAGGAAAGGAAAGAAAGAATAACAGATTCAGTTAGAAGTTAATATATTAAAAAGTTAATAGTGTTAATAATGGAGAACACCACTTGTGACAGGCCACCAGCTGGATTTAACTCCATTCACCACAACTCTTGGGCCTGGCCATCCTGCCAGTTTTTTACCCAGCAAAGCAGACACCAGTCCAAGCCATAAGCAGCCAGTTTCTCCAAGAGAAAGCTGAGAGAAATTGTGTCAAAGGCTTTACTAAAGTTTAGGTAGACAGCATCCACAGCCTTTCCCTCATCTACTAAGTGGGTCACCTTGTCAAAGAAGGAGATAAAGTTAGTTAAGCTGGACTTGCCTTTCATAAATCGATGCTGACTGGGCCTGATTGCCTGGTTGTCCTGTACATGCCATGTGATAGCACTCAGTATTACCTGCTCCATGACCTCCTCTGGCAGCAAGGTCAGACTGACAGGCCTGGAGTTCCCCAGGTCCTCCTTTTGGCCCTCCTTGTAGATGGGCATCGCTCCTAAGCGCAGACACCCTTCTAGAACTCCTCGTATGATGGCAGCAAAGAAAGGAACAACCTCCCAAGGCCCCTTTTCCTCGTTTCACCAACCAGCAGACAGACTGCCGTCCCAGTGCCAACCTGCCAGCACAGCCACCGCCAGGGAGCTACGGGCGGGTGCAGCACGGCCGGTTCCCGCCCGGTTCCCAGGCGTTGGGAAGCCCCGAGCGTCGCGGCAGCAATGGCAGGGGTGGGCCCAGCTCAGCGCTGCCCTGCTGCCTTCCCTCAGCCTTGCGCTGGCTCTCCCAGACTGCTTGGTCACAGGCAGGAGGGCCCCATCTTTGCCTACATCTCCCACCATTTATATAATCTGCATTTCTGCACACAGCATAAGGCCGTAATTAACTGAGAGTACGCCAGCCCTTCGCACTGACTGAAGTTAAGCACATACATTAATCTTCTCAGGCATGGATACTTATTTATCAAACTAACCCAAAAATTTCATATTTTTTTTTACAGTGGAGTCTCAAAATATAGCTATCCTCAAGCTTCAAATTTAAATAATTACTGTGGTTGCAAACCATTATGCTTTAAATAGGCAAGTCAGTAGAATGAACTCATAACTATACAAATTAAACATATTCTAATATAAAACCTTGAAAAATACATAATTGTTCATATATCAAATGTCACTACTTCATTTGCTCTAAGCCAAATTAGTTAATGACAATAAAAAAAAACAATTAAAAATGAACCAATTCCAGAAAGCCTTGCAACCAAAAAGTCTATATTAATTAATAAAGTATACAAAAGTAATGAAAAAGAAGGGCTCAATGTCCAAAGGGTGTTTATGAGCAAAAAAATACGTAACTTGGAAATGCATAAGAACAAGTTAAGTGTCTTCTGAATGAAGAACATTCCCCTGAGCTACAGCTTAGTGGTTTTACTTCATTTTTCTCTTTCCTGTGTCAAACCAGCATGCAAACTAGGCTACCTCAACAACCAAGGAAAAAAGGAATATGGCATTTGTTAGCAAATAACATATACATTTATAAATCAAAGTAAATGTGCATTGAAAGTTTTCAACAGCTTAACTTTTCCTAATAAAGGTGTCAAGTGGATGACCTCATTATCAGAGTGGCTTAAACATACAAAACCACTTTACTGTTATCTTGGTCTGTAAGGAAAACCTTGCATTAATTTGACTTTTCATTAATTGACAGAAGTAAAATAAATCCTTCCCATCCTCTTTTAGTGAACCCATTTTTCTGAGGCCAAAGTAGACCTGCAAGTTTGTGACTGACCTACATAAAACAGATCTGATTTTAAATTGCATCAGGGTAAATTAAGAGCATAAGCAAGCATTGAGCAAAACAGCTCATTTGCAAATGAACTGATACAAGGCAATTGAATCATAGAATCACTGAATCATCCTGGTTGGAAGGGACCTTGAAGATCATCAACTCCAACCATAACCTAAATCCCCCTACCATAACCTAATCTACCTATTCAGTGCTTAAATCATGTCCCTAAGCAGTACATCTACATTTCTTTTAAACACTTACAGGGATGGTGATGCCACCGTCTCCCTGGGCAGCCTGTTCCATTGTCCAACCACTCTTTGGGTAAAGAAATCCTTTCTAATATCCAGTCTCAACCTCCCCTGGTGCAGCTTCAGGCCATTTTCTTTCAATGAGGCATGTTGCTTGAATAAAGTAATATAAAAATGGAAATGCCAGTCACACTTTCTCAGTCCTTGTCTCCCTTTCTTTAGAACACTAAACATTCGTCCTTGTTGCTGTTCTTAGGGGCTTGGCCTCAGTACAGCTGTAAGCACTGCACTGCTTGCCTGCATGAGCACTAACATGTATTTGAAAGCTTTCCCCATACATGTTTAAATAACGTGATTTATAATTTTACTTTATATACTTTTTTTTCCAATTATTTCCTTCTCAAAAATCAATCCTCTTTTGGTCTAATATACATGTAATATTACAATCTGAAACATACAGTGTCTCCAGGAGAAGTCAATGCAACAAAGTAAAAACTAAATAGTGGGACTGTTGCATTCCTTCCACCATTTCCCTTAACTTTCCACATGGAAATTGGAAAACAAAATTTTAAAAAAACAAAAACCTCAAAGTTTATTTTGTGTGCTACAGGCACACAAATCAACAAAGAGCTTTATAAACATCCTGGGAGAAACCACCATTAGCTGTGTCAGACACTGTGAATTTAAAATATCACTGGTGCACGACAGCCTTTGAGCAGACATGTCACACATTGAAAACTTTGAAGCAACATCATGAGATTGAAATTTTGTTGAAAAAAAAATTAAAGTGAGAAACAGAAGTAATGTGGGAAAAATTAAAAAGGCCAAGTGATGACAGTTAAACAAGATACAAATGTATAAGTATTTTACATTGCACTAACAGAAGCAGTATTGCTCAAGCACACACATATACGCATACACTGCATGACATTTGCCTGGACAGAGGAGACAATCTCACACACACTGTTCAACAGAGCATCAGGAGAGTAATTAATCAGTTTTTGGATACCTCATAATGCATTAAGATAGAATTTGAAGTAGTTTAATAAAGTTGAAAAGCGCCCCTCTGCACTCACATGGTGCAGTGAAGACTGTCCTTGCATCAAATTGTTTACAGTCATGAGACAAGAGATACTATAGACCCAGAGGACAATGGATCATGGGCAATACAGCAATTTTAATATTTCTTTTTAATTTATTTTTTTTAAATGCGATGAAACCCATAAATGTCCCAAATTCTAGCTGACTTATAGAGCTGGAAAACTGCTACATTTTTTCAGCAGCTGGGGACAATGAGCACTAATTGCCTCATACCTATCCACAGAGTAACTGAATTCGGAATACAACCAATTAAAATGAGACAAAGAGTGATTTCTAAGCCAGATTCAAAATTCAGTATCCCAGGACACAGGCATCAGCAGCACAGCTGGCAATGCTTCAGTTTATCCTTTACTACTCAGTTTAACATGACTGCATTCTGCAATGCTCACTCCACCTCCTGCAGCCATAATGCTCCAATGGTACACAAATAAGTTGGAGTCACCAAGGATCCATCTTCTGATGAACCTTGGGGAGGTGATTCCTAGTGGACACTAGGAATTTTGGAACACTACGTTTTGAACTTATAGGTAAATACTTCTGTAATAAAAGCAACATTATTGTTCTATTTGCTGAGCCAAACCCAGAGACTTTTGAAGCCACCATGAAATCTGTTCACGTTTAAAAACTCACTTATTAATGCTCTGGGTATTAATTTTAAATTTATTACACACCGATTTCCTTACCATCCCAAGGACCAGGAGGTCAGCAGCAGTTCCCAAATGCAAGGGAAGGACCCAGCCAGCACTATCACTAGCAGCAGGAATATGTGCCCACATTAGTACTTCTGGCAAGAAAGGGTTGACCCAGGCATTCAGAGAGAAAGAAGATAAGAAGCTAGCAGAGGAAAAGCAGGTGAGCTAGATGGACTGAGAATAGCAGCTGTTTGCCTCCAATGCAGACTTATTGTTGCATGTTGAATATGCAAATTTAGGACTGCTAATTGGTTCCCATGGCCATATCTTTCTTAAAAAAAAAAAAAAAAAAGACTTAAGAAAACGAGTAGCAGACTGTGTATTGCTATAGCTATGTTAATTATAATGACAAAGCAAGTGACTGCCTGGAAAGCAAACTTGATGACTTTTGGTCTAGGAGGCTGCCCCTTTCTCCAGTGCATAATAAACAAAGCATACAATTAGTACAGACTAACATACAGACTGTCATCATTTTATCTCCTGATGCAATAAATTTTGAAATATGCAAGCAAAAAACTATTGTACTTGCATAGAAATGTTTAATTCTATGAATTCACAATGGATCTTATTGCAATCAGTGCAGTTTTGAAACAAGCCCATTGATAACTAACATTCTGTTGTATTCTAAGGTAAATTAGAAAGATGTTGAATTCATTCTCAGTTTTTATTATTTCAGTGTATGCTTCATGTGAAAAAAAGTTTCACCTGACCTGTATGGGAGATTCCCTTGGCTTATAAAGACAAGATGTTGTTGTCCTGCTTCCTGTGGTGGATGACATGACATGAAGCAGCCAAGAACAATTCAGAACAAAGATCAAATAAAACTAGTTGTAGGAAGACTTGTACTTATCTCTTATAAGGAAAACAAGATAAATTTATAGGATTTTATATTCATCATTTGCTAAGGAAGTTAGGTGTACGTAAAATACTGCCTAAGTGTGCTGCTTTCATATTTTTTCTAGTTAGTTAAGCATTGTGAATGTAACTACCATATTGCAGTACAGTTACATGTCTTCCAGCCCACTGCTCTACAAGGTGCTTGGTCGACAATTTTAGGAGGGAGGGAAGTTGAGGGGCTGTTCTGTAATGGAGTCTTGGAGTTATTTCTTAGAACATTTAAAAAAAAAAAAAAAAAAAGATAATTTGTTTAGCACTTTTATTGAAAGGAAATATATTCAGTCTTGCCTGAAAATAAGACAGCTAAATAGAGCAATTACTAGACAAACAGATATCCAAGAGGTCAAGTACAGCCATGTTTAAAGAATGTCTGTAGAACAGATGTCTCACAGGTATCCATAGGCACATTCTCAAATAATCTGTAAAATTAACGTACTTTTATTCTAGCTCTTGCTCCATTGCTGTAAAGTTGCTGCTTAGAGGGGCCAAAGTATCCAAGTTGTATGTCCATAGTTTTAGGGACATGGTTTAGCACTGGATGTGGTAAAGTTAGGTTAATGGTTGGACTTCTTTTAAAAGAAAGTTCTTTTCCAACCAGAAGGATTCTGTGATTCATACCGAAGCCGCCTACAGAAGCTTACACTTCTGTACTGTCTACTAAGAGCAGCATCTCAGAGAGAATGGCCTTTTTACAGAAAGTAAAAAGAGCATTATCTTTTTCCTGTGCTACTTCTTATATGCAAGTTACTAGAAAAAAAATAACCAAAGGTAAAGAAAAAGGGCAAGCTACCACCACAGGGAAACAGCTGATAATTGCTAGCCCTATACAAAAGGCCTTAGACCTTAACCAAGCAAAAACACGTCTCAAAAGGCATGGCAAACATTCCTCTAAACTGAACTTTAAATGTAAATCCATATTAATTACTAAAACAGCAATCAGTATACCTAATTCTTATTTACAAAGCAAAATGGATGTATGTTTGTTTTCTTTTTTAATTGAATACACTGCAACATATAACCAATATTAAGAAATCTGCTACTGAATATGGCTTTTGTTATATTCAAAAACACATTTTATCTTGCTCAGCATCACAACCTGTGAAAAAGCTGGAAGCAAGTGGCATTGCATGAAACACTGCAAAATTAAACATCCAAACCTATAAAAGGCATGTCTGGTTTTATACATTTTGTTTTGAAAACTGCAATCCCAAGTCTCCAGTAACTAAATTCCCCTGCCAGCATCAGTTGTGTACACTGTCAGCACTGAAACAATTCTACAACCAGGACTTGATGATTAGATATAGGCACACATGTACAATAAACTCTCAGTCCCCAGTTTAGGGCACCTTTATAGAGAAGAAAGGACAATCAAAATAAAAGCTTCATTTGTAGAGGTTTACAACTAGTGTCCCTAGTCACTACTAAGTTACAGTGGTGGGGAGAAGAAAATAGCAGAGCACATTTTGCCAACAGTAAGGAGCTGTAGATGTAAGCCAGCCCTCCACAAAATAATTGAGAAAAAAACAGTATTTCTTCACAAACACTTATATTACATTTTTTCTCAGAAAGACAATGACAAGGCAGAAGAAAACCCCACAACACAAGTGAGAACGTAATCAGATTCTAAAATTACATCTATATTTACAGGGCACACCATAGAGCTGTTTCCGGATTCTTAAATCTCTACTTCAGATCTAACAAAACGGTATCTCTACATCACAGGCACTCCCTGGTGAACTCCCATCCTAAGTATATCAACAAGAATTAAACAGAACTGCATGGTGTGACAAGGCCCTTGATACATCCCCTATCCTCTTGAGAGGCACTAATATAATAGGACAGTTAGAAGAAAGCAAGTTTAAATTACTAGTCTGATCCAGTTAAGCTACCATTGAAGAAATGTGGATAATTTCTCCTGATTTTGTGCTGCTGAATAGTCATAATCAGGAAACAATCTCACATTTAAAAGGGTAAGATTTTTTTTCTTTAAAAAACAAAAATCCAACCAACTGAAACATACTATTTAATGTATCTGCACATTTATTTGAATTGGTATTAATATTTGTCTTCTGGTGTTAGCCACACAAAAAGAATACACAAAACTAAAAATATTAATTAAAAGAAAATCTGAAAAGGCTGAGATGTTCAGCTGAAAGCAAGCTGGCAATCTGTCTTCTATTGCTTATTAAGTTATCCATCTCAACTTTTTGTTTACAAATTAGATGGGTTAGATACAAAATACTTCTCCAGTTTTTCTGAAACTTCACATTCCTGTCAATTCTTATGGCACCTGTCAGAGCCATTCTTTCAGATCAAGTTTTCATTATGTCAATCAGAGAAGCCAAGTTTTTCCCAAAGAACTTGAGATGACTTGATATTCTGTAAGAACAATTTGTGGCTGCTGTGCCCAAGATGGCCTCCAACTGTCACCTCTCCTGTCCTGCTGACAAAGGGAAGGACTAGCAGGGCACCTTGCCTGGTTGTTTCACTCACTAGCTGTGTCATGAAGTTATCTTTGACATATTCGAGGAACCTCCAGGACTGTTCCCTCTCTGCTGTGTTGTAGTTCCAGCAGATATCAGGGAAGTTGAAGTCCCCAAAAAGAACAAGGGCAAATGACTGAGATTTCACACAGGTATTTATAGAGCAGTTCATCCATCTCAGTGCCGTGGTTTAAGAGGTCTATAGCAAACTTCCATAGCGATATCAGCCTTGCCCCTAATTCTGATCCAAATGCACTCTACCTTGTCATCATTATAGTCTAGTTCTAGATATTCATAACAATTTCTAATACACAGGGCTACCTCACCACATCTCCTGAAGAGTAATACCTTAGTAAGTTTCCATTTCAGAGAAATGCAGTGTCCTTGACATAGTTACAGCACCACAACATTGCTGAATGGGTGATAATTTGGGCCCTCAGCCAAATCAAGGCTGGCTTCATGTGCCCAGAATAAAGCATGTTACACAACTGTTCTGCAGCACCTATGTGCAATAACTCAGACAGAACATATACCAGTGTCTCAGTTTTCCTAGCCACAGCTTCTTTCCTCCCAAAATTTTGCCTGTGCAGAAACAAGGCGAGTTTAGGCAATTGCTCTGTGAAGATTTGCAGTACCTACCCAGTAATCCCAAATAAACCTCCATCATGCTTGCAAAAATCAGCTCTGTGAAATCCCTGCACTATATAAAGTCCAATGAATTAAACTCCAAAAATCACCACCTAAAAGGTTTCTCCTAACCTTCACAAAGTTTTGATTTTTATCACGATTCCTCTTAAGCCATGCAAGCCAGCATTGTGGGTGAAAATGTAATTTTTTCACTCGGTGCACAGCTTTAACAGATAACTGTTCAGCCTAGCCTTCACTTTTGAATGCTGCTTCTGATCCTCCTGCAGCTTTGTACCCTGTGTCATTAATTAGAATTGTACATGAGTCCCTCATGCCATTTCAGTTCTGTTGCATGTGACAAAGAGTTTAGAAGACTGCACCTGTTTTCACATGAGAAGCCTTGAGCCACTAGTGCCACTGTCTTTAAATATGCCTAATAACCAAACCAGCAAACTGGACAGTGTTAATCCTTCAAACAACACACATTGAATAAAACTGAGAGGAAACTTAGAGAAAATAACCCCTACTTCAAATTCCCTGCAATTCTTCCTTTGGTTATCAAACCAAAAAATGACTAACCTTTTCTAATCTGACACAAGGCAAGCTCCAGCCTAAAGAATGGGTATTTAATTTTTACTTTGTGCATGGTAGAAACAGAAGCACTTCAAGTTGACATCTAATATACCTGAAGTAATATGAAGTTTCAAACACAGTGAAGCAGCAATCATAAAATGCCATGGGTTATTATTTCGACACGGTTTACACTAGAGGAAAACACTTACCTGAGGGTAAGGGTCAACTGTTGCTCCTTTGACTTCACCAAGTCTCCTACTCTAAAAGTTGTACAGCCAAGGAAGCTTCGCTACAAAACAAAGAAGAAAGACTTGGAAATTTTTCTTTAATACCTAAAAACTATTACTTTGCAATATACTTTTCCTCCTATCAAAATCACCTTCACACATCATCACAAAGAAAACAGTGCAAAGAAGAAAAGAAACACATTTGCTTTTGCTTTTTGGTTATTTTTTAAGCTTTGTTCATATCCTGATGCACAGTGCTCAAATCTTGTGTTCTTGCCCTGGGAACAATGGAAAAGAAAACAACAGTCTAGAGCCATCTTCTATCCATTTGTCTTTGAAATATGCACCTCAATATCACTTGCTTTGAATAAATTACAATGAGATCAGAAGATAATGTTGAACTTCCGCAAGAAAACAAGTACACGAAGTTGGATTTTATTTTACCAATCCTGCTGTGCTATTGTAATGGCAAAGTAAAATTCTAGGGTAAATTCTATATACTGTTGGATATACAAACCCAAAACGAATCAAGTTACTCTGCATCAACACAGGCTGAATGCAGAGAGCAACTTTCTCTTCAGGGCAAGAGAAAATAAACTTGTTGCTACTAAGAAGTGTAACTTCCTATGGTTAAAAACAATAAAATCCCTGCAGCCTGCTTTCCTTCAGGAAGACCAGCTGGTTATTGAGTATTCCAATGCTAATAATAAAGATCTACACTAAGGGTTTTTTTGCATATAAAACGTACGGTTCAACCCAAACTCTCAATTTAGTTAAGCACCAACACTAGTCCCCAGTTGGTAAATGACATCATCAGTTATGGCTCCTTCCTTTCAATGACACAAGCTCAGATTTCTTACGTGTTGTTTGACACTTTAGCAGCAAAGTTAAAAAAGATGCAAGCTGAGAGTCTAGGGAAATCTCTGGGAAGTGCTGAATAGGAATTAAAGAAGAAAGAGGCCTACAGGAAATCTATAGAGAAAAATACCACAGGCGCACAAGCAAAGATCACATTCAGTTCTCACTGCCAAAAGGAAACGTGTACTTTTACATGAGATACGTCCTGGTGTGACACACAGTGATGCACAGCCTTGCTAGAGTGAACACACAGATAGTTCTATGATCCTTCAGATCGTCAACATGACAGCATTTCTTCACTAAAACTCCATGGTGGCATAGTCAGCTCAGACTACTTACCTTCTTACAAGAGCATATCCTTCTTAGTATAATAAGAACACATTCCACAGCACAAAGGCTATATAGCAGCCTTTGTTCTGGCATTGCATGGCATTCTAGAGGTTGTATTTGCAACCTTACCATTTGCAAAGAGGGAGAGGGATATTTGGAACGGAACTGATATCGGCTGGGTCACTTGGGGCTCCTTTCTGCAGAACAACAGAACTATAAATCTATCTAGGAACTGTAAATCGGAGTCCTCATATGATCAGGGCTAAGAAGCAACTACTTGGCTTTCTTATGCAATCAGAAGCTTTGGTCATTGTACTCTCTAACCATTATTGAATGTTACATCTAAGAGTGTCATATCTAATTCTCCAGGGTCACAAAATTAAAGGCAAATCACTTTATAGGCTTAAAAATTCAACTTGTCTGTTTCGTATTGTTATGTTTATTTAGAACCAAATTTTCTTTGCCTGACAATGCAATTATGAGTTATTTGCAAAATTAAATAAAATTCAATAAAAATGTGAATGATCCATGACCCAAATGAAGGCAGTTATGCTAATGTTCAAGGGGCCTAATTGGAAATAACACAGACACTTGTTTTTTCCACATGGATTTAGGTACAGTCTGCCCTGGGGCCTCAACTGGCAGTCTACAAACCAATCTAACTTTGAACATGTGACTTGGGGAGGCTTGAAAAGTAGGCTTTAAACAGAACTGCTGCTGTAATGCTAATTACAGAGTAATGTTCCTCTGTGATTTTGCTAGTGGGGTACTTAACAATTATAAATCTTAAGATATGTGCCTTGAGTAGTTTGATGAATAATCTCAGCTATCCGAAGAGAAAAGTCTCTGTAATAGCTGTATGAAAAGTTGAAACACATTGATTATTTCACTGAGATTGAACTTGCTGCCAAGCTACAGCTTTTTTCAAAAACTAACTGAAAACCTGGAAACTATGCCAAGGAAACCCTGGTAATGCAGGAAAGTCAAGACCTTAGGCTAAAAATTTCCAAACTAAGTTATTTTACATGTTTGCATACATAGGTCTGATACCTGCACTAGGTGGTGTTTGGCCTTTTACTAAGCTTCAGCAGGAAAAAAGCAGGACCAACATTATCCTCCCCCATGAGACATGCACATTATCTGGGAGGTTCTAGCCTTCTCAGACCCAGAAATGACATCCCAACACCTCTGTCAAAAGTTCTGCAGATCTACACGGAAAAATAAGTCCTCCATATGTCAACAGTGTAATTTCTTAAGGCAAACCCAAAGGCAAGCCCTACACTGGAACTTCATACTCTCCACCTGAAAACCAGAAGGTGACAGGCCAGGTTCATTGAAAAAATGTGATTCCAATCTCTCATGCTTGTATGGTACTAGCAGGAAGTCTAGATAGTTGTATTTGCCTCAGGGTAATCTCACTTGAAAAGGACTTTGAAAAAAAGAGGTGAATGGGTTATATCAATTACTGAGACTATTAATCCTACTTGGATGTTTTTATTCATTTAACCCAACTTCTGTTATTAAAAAAGCTTCCCAGCTGCTGCTTAGTAGCTAGGCAAAACACCATTTCTTTTCATTGGGTGCCTGTGTCTGTTGATGAGGTGAAAAAAAAATAAGTGATTAATGAAAAAAATTGCTTACTCCAATATCTGCTCTTGGGTCCTTGTGATCAGGTAGGACACTGGTGCGGACCTGATAGAGGAATAAAAAGAAAGCCAAATGAAAGACTAGTTTTTGTTGCTACTTTCCAATAAGAATAAAAGAAGTACACATGCATTTTTTTCATCATACCTTCTACATTTTGGAGATATATTTAAAGGGAGCTATATACATATATATAATTTAATAACAATAATTCAAGCACAACATCCTCTTCTTCCTGTGGAAGAAAATCTTTCACCATGACCTATTTACCATTGTGAGCTTTTCTGATTCTCTAAAGCAAGAAAGGTTGTGCTCAGTTGTTCCCTTCCTAAAATCAGACTCTTTGGGTCCAACTTGAATGCCAGAATTCTTCATTTAGAGTTATCTGGAACCAAAATTTTCACAAATGAAAGAACACAGTACATGAGAAAGTATTTTCACCAAATATGTTCTTGCCTTAGCAGGTTGATCTGCAACAGACATCCTGACCCCCAGTCTCATACAATGTATGTCTGTGTCCTCCTACCACTTCCTGAGCATCTTTGAGGTGACAGGTATTTGTAGACATCCACAGAAGGAAAGAAGGTGTTTAAGGTTGGATAACGCTTTGTTTAGGCTAGTCTAGTGGGAGACATCCCTGCTCTTCAGCAGGGAGGCTGGAACCTGATGATCTTTAAGGCACCTTTCAACCTTAACCATTCTACAATTCTATCAAAGTTCCCGCATTCCCTCCCACAAGGAAATTCCAGTTGTCCCTGCGTTTTCTGAAGGGTGGAGTTGCTATTGTACGCAACTACGTCCATTTCACAAGTATGGGACAACTTGATTTCCTTCTGTATTTCTCAAAATTCTGCACAGGGTTGTGGGGTTTTTTTGAGTGGAGGAAGGGTAATGTGTCCATGTAATTTTATTGTTGAACTTTCTTTGAGAACAGAGAACTGATAAAACTGTAAAAATAAGATAGAAAAAAAAAAATCTAAGAAAGCCTCTGTAACACTCCTCTAATGTGGTCTGCCTGAGCCAAAACAGCCCATTGGACTAGCTTGCTGCGAAAGGATGCCAGCTTCAGCAACACACACGGGAGGCATGTACTGAGCATTCACATCTGTTCAATTACCTAGCCTAAATAACAGATATCCATTTACAGCAAGTCCCCCCAAGGACAAATTTTTGGCTTGATTTCAGAATAAAACTCAAACTCATTTCACACATCTGTCAGCAAAAAACTCATTTTGTCCCAAACCCTCTAATGTGTCCCAATTATTTTATTCTAGTTGAAACTTACTATACAAAAGCAAATTCCCCTTTAAAAAAAAAAATAAAATTTTACTTGTCTGTTATCCAAAATACAGGTTGTTAGAAAAGGCCAACAAAAAATCTACCAGAGACATGACAAAGTGTAACCACAGCTTTACTTAGTCAGCTCTTATCCAGTGATTCTTTACAATGACAACACGTTTATTTTTTTCCACAAAGACTGAAGATAGTAAAAAAATGCTATAAATAATGTACTGAGGGCCCAAACACTTTTCCTCTTATATAACATTAGCAACTCCAAGTCATTTGGTTTTCTATGGAACACTAGCACAAAATTTTCAACAAAAAAATTAATATCTAAAATTTTCCTGTAAGTACTTCATGTCACAAATGAAAATAAAATTACTGATATTTCCTTGTGGGTGATACCTGCTTCACCCTTTTGGGTGCTAGGGAAATGGGGGAAATAACTTACAGCAGATCTGTTTCTTAAGAGAAAGAAGGGGTATCAATGCCAGGCTAAAAATTCCACATAATTTTAAGATGCTAAAAAGTTGGGTTCTATATGCTACCTCAAACAGGTAACATCTGGCCCAACATGATTGTGAAATATTTTCATTTTCTAATTTTAAAATATTTTTCTATTTTTAAATATATAATATATATATATGCATGAACCAAATTTAAGAATTAACTTTTCTCTCCATCACTGGAAAGAAAGAAAGATGCATTTGTTACCCAGAAGCAGTTCAGGAAGTATTTTAAAACATGTGTACTTGTTTTAGCATGATATGAAAGTATGCTTTAAAGCCAGAGCAAGCCTCTTGATTATTGAAATCAATGGAATCAAACATAGACTTAGGATCACAGAATAGTCACTTTTTCTTTTGCTGCATAAGTCTCAGGAGTGGAAGGTGATGTCAAAACCTGACAAATCTACAGTACAAGCCTCCCCTATAACAAAAAGGCACCTCATAATTCCAAATGCAGTTAAATAAGGAAAAAAATTATGTTGCTTGTTTGCAGTTTAAAGCGTAATTTCATTAGCATCACAATGAAAAGACTAGGAAAAGTATCCACAAACTTCAGTTTTCAGTTAAAAAATGTTACATTTATTTGTTTTATTTGGTTGTAACCATTCTATAGCCAGTAGTCACACAACCAAATGTATATAAATACTGTGTTTGGGGGGACTGGCATTAGACTGAGCCTCTCTTCTCTCTGCAGTGTATTCATTCGAATGTCAACAGGATTTTCTTTTATCCAAATAGGTGTGTGGTTTTGTGGGGTTTTTAAACAAATAATGGAAAATTGTTTAAAAAAAGAGAAGCCATTTATGTGTGCCTAGATACATATATGGGATACATACAATATATACAAACTGGTGGTCCTTTTCATGTTGGTTGAGCTCCAAAAGTTACTTATCTCCTAGAATACTACAATTATTAGAGTCCTATCATATAAAGTTCACATAGGAGGCCAAGCAAAGCAAAATTGCAAACAAAATCAAGACATTTCAGAACCAAATATATAACATAAGAGACAACTCAACTGTAGCCCCAATTCAAAAAATAGAATTAAAAAAAACAACAAGAAATACAAATTATTTGAAATTGCAAATATTCACCCAGTACGTTACCTGATTAAACAAACTGCTGTATTTTTTTCATACCTTGACATAAACCCAATTTTTCCCTAATGGCCCCAGTAGTATTCTAAATAACTATGAAAAATAAATAAAACAGGCATATTTTAATATCAAATATTCATTATTTTGTTAGAATTTCAGTTTTCTCATTTCCTCTAGGTTTTCCTGAGTAAAATGCAAAACTCTGGTGAGTTTATTCAGAATTCAGTTAACAATGAACTTCCTTGGAATAACACACATTACAGCCTTACTTTCCCAGACAAGAGATGTATGAAGAGATTTCAAAAGTAGACCTAGATGACAAGCTGTCTTTTGCCAAGCGCAAAATGTTTATGACAAGTACTGATTCTAGTGATTTACTTTCTAAAACAAAAAGTCTATTTGGTACATACATCACAGCTCCTCATACCAGGAAGAACACTAGTGCACCAGAGTGGAAACTCATGACACATTTCATTTTCTTTAAAATTCACATAGAAAATATGCAATGAGTAGATATCCTTATACTTCTGAGTGAATTTATCACTGACATATCTAAGCGTCAAATTCCTCCAGGCCAAAATGCTAAATTCAGCTTTAATTAACTGTCCTTTAATATAAGGCAGCTTTATATGATTTAAAAGAACATTTATTTCAGTCATTCATGGCAGTCTAAGCCATATTCACACATACTGTTAAAGTTCAGAAGGCTGAATCATTATCATTACTGAAACTTTTGTGCCTGCCCTTAATTAAAGCCTTTGAATTTCAACTGATGATCAAAGGCCACATTCAGAAGACACTTAGGTTTTACAAAGAAATAAGCTAGAGCCTTTCTCACTTCACTCTAGATTTACCTCATCAAATCACCAGTGGCTTTCCCTGACTTCCCAGTATTATTGCTGTTGGCTGCTCAAATGCAGCACTCTGTTACTACTGTTCTACGCTCCCAGCATCTCACAAGAACTAGGTACACACCGCACTAGGCAAAGCAGAAGACAAGAGAGACTAGTGAAGGCAGTCGCTGGAAAATTGACTCTCACTCTTTCAATAGAGCACCTTCCAGGGAGGCATACACAATTTGACTCCCTCCTTTTAAGTCTGGCAGCACTATAAGAACTCCACATGTGCAGACTATTTTACCCTTATGTTACCTGGAGATGCTCTGAAACAGTGACCACCTCCCCTTTTTTCCCCCTACAGGCCCTTCTGCACATAAAGCAAGCACTGAACTCTGCTAAAGCAACTGCCACATCTCTACAGACAGCTGCTATGGTCCGTCAGTGCTCATCCTCATCATTCCTGCCTGCCAGCCATGCAGCACCAACCATCTGAGTCTGGGAGTAACTGTATTTTGTGTAACTTTTCAGTTAGAGAAATTGAAGCTCAATCTATAGGTGCTGGAGAAGCTGAAAACGCTGCAGTTGTTACCAGCTTCTGCAACAAGATCGATCAACTTTTACAGGAGAGATCCCATTCCAGTATATGCAGCAAATTTATTTTTAAAATAAGATATGAGACACTGTACATTTAACAGCTATTTATTTTTATCATATAGATTAACAATTTGCTAAAATTCAATCAACATAGTACAGTCAGGAAAGTAAAATGCTTCCATCAATAATTTGTTTAATACCTGCTTACTGGATAGAGGACAACACTAATAACAGTAATTTTCCAACCTTTAGTGCATAATTATTTCTTTATAGAAAGAGTCCATGAAAAGCAAAAAATAAAATGTTTTCCCGATAGGCATGCATATGGTATTGCAGGCTTTACAGTTCCAATGAAAAAACCAGAGATACTAAAAAATGTTACATTTACATTAAAGATTAAAATAATTAAAGGGAACATAAGCTATATCAACTTCACTGCAATACTTTTGCACTTGTATAATAAATATATTATGTTCATTATAGAACATAGTAAAATAAAAAATAGAAAATATATATGTATATATAGCCCTCCTACCTATAGAAAGCAAAGTGGGACTTTTCCTACTATATGTATGCCCCTATAACTTGTTGTATATCAAAAGACAAGTTTCAGCTTTTTATTGGTCTGAAAGGATCAAATAGAAGGGCACGCATCTCTACATAAGGTTGGATACTTTTTGCAGTATTTGTTCATGACTGTCTGGCACCGTGGAGTCAGAATAGTTCAT